AACAAAGCCTAACACTGTCCAGTATGGGCGTGAACACCACATTTAGCTGTAATATTTAGGGGAGTTATTGCACTGATACTAATAAACCAATAAGAAACAGAAAGTCTCATTAGTCAACCACAAATATGAACGCATCGATTTGTCTGTCCATCGCAGCATGATATTTACCATTATCAATGTATACACCAAATCATTTTTAGGAGGGGGCTATTGCATTATCATCTGTGGACGTATGTGTAGGTGTGACGCCACGATTAAAAAGATTGGAATGACATCATTTTTATGTAATGTAAAATAATTGGGTTTTTTCCTATGCATGTTGCAGTTTGTCAGCGATCACGTTTATTAGAGAGAAGTACCAAGAAATTCATTTCAAATATCAAACTAATTGAATCAATTATCTGCTGGAAAACCTGTACAACATCACTGAATTCTTGTTTGACAAAGGAGAAATTTTACAATGGTCAGAAGAAGATGGAGGTACTTGGTTGATAAGGTAGAAAAACTACAATGGTCAGACTATGATGGAGGTACAACAATGTACTTCTGGTAAACCAGATGGAAAATCTCTTTATGAAGAGGTTATGTGTATTTTTTAGTGATTCATACAGCAAAATGGTAAAATGCTAACATTTAACTTTTTGAATCTAAATCAGTAATAACTGATAAAAATCATTTATTAATAAGCGTTTGAAGAGCAATGAATATCGTTATTTGGATGCACTTCAGAATTTGGTTTAATAACATATCACTGCACTACATGACGTTTAAATTATTTCTCTTTATGAATAGAAGACAGCAGAAAGAATGGCATATCAGGAATACCAGGTAAAGATATTGCTTAAAGGACATTATTGATTCATTCAATGTAACATAATTGATGATTGATTTGTCAGAATGTATTTTTTATTTTTTTATTTTTTAATATTTATATCGATGTATGTCTGAGCTATGATTATCGTGCTATGGTAGAAACCACTATATAATGTCATCGATATGTTTTAACCTCTTAGATAAAGATGAAACACATTTTTTGTTGATTTTCGCACATCACAAACGTAATCGTCAATCTGACATGGAGAATCTATTGATTAGAATGAACGTTTCCCAAACGCTGTTCACTCAACATAAATATTTTTTTACAGACGAGGACCTGTATTGCAGATATCATAAAGGTACGCTGACATTTAAGTTGTTAAGTTTGAATAACATTTCATCGTAAAATCATCTAAATAACAAAATAAGAATATCTTCCAATTTCAATATTGGCAAAAAGAAACGCTGGTTCTTTGTTATAATGTAACAGTTGTTATACTAAAACATCAAATGCACACATTAATTAGTTTCTGTACGAAACGTGCATATACTACAGGTGTATCATGTTACAGTGTCCCAAGGACGACAACTGAAAGAAAACGTATGGCAGATTGGATGTGAAATTATCTCGTATAAAACTGATAAAATATCAACAAACTTTACGATGGCTTCGTTGTCTCGGCTTGAATTGTTAACTATTAAAACGATACTGATTTCGCTTCACATCAATATTCATATATAAAGAATATCGGCCAGGAAGGTTAAATAAACGATGTATCATATTCTTGAATATTTACATGTAACATTATATTGTATTAGGTGTTCATCAAAACGTGTGTTCGTTTCATACATAACATTCGACTCCAAAATACAAAATATCATGACGCCATCTAACTTACTCCTTTGGGCAGTCCTGACAAACAAAACGAAAATGGCGGAACTATTTTGGATAGTGTTTCTTACTCAAATCGTCCGTGTAGTTAATTTTCTGATTTAAATCGTATCGATAGTGCGGTTTCTGATTTACATCGTCCAAGTAGTGAGTTTCCCTATCTTAATATTGCAAATAGTAAGTTCTCTTATTTAAATCGTCAGGATAGTGAATTCTTTGATTTACATCGTCCGGATAGTGTGTTCTCTGAATTACATCGTCCGGATAGTGTGTTCTCTGAATTGCATCGTCCGTATAGTGAGTTCTCTGTTTTACATCGTCCGAATAGTGAGTTCTCTTTTTTGTATCATCCGGATAGTAAGTTCTCTGATTTACATCGTCCGTATAGTGAGTTCCCTGATTTACATCGTCCGGATAGTGAGTATTCTAATTAACATCGTCCGGATAGTGAGTATTCTGATTTACATCGTCTGGATGGTGAGTATTCTGATTTACATCGTCCAGAAAGTATGTTCTCTGATTTACATCGTTCGTATAGTGAGTTCTCTGATTAACATCGTTCGTATAGTGAGTTCTCTGATTAACATCGTCCGTATAGTGAGTTCTCTGATTTACATCGTCCGGATAATGAGTATTCTGATTTACAACGTCCAGATAGTGAGTATTCTGATTAACATCGTCCGGATAGTGAGTATTCTGATTTACATCGTCCAGAAAGTATGTTCTCTGATTTCCATCGTTCGTATAGTGACTTCTCTGATTAACATCGTTCGTATAGTGACTTCTCTGATTAACATCGTTCGAATAGTGAGTTCTCTGATTATCATCGTCCGTATAGTGAGTTATCTGATTTGCATCGTCCGGATAGTGAGTATTCTGATTAACATCGTCCGGATAGTGTGTATTCTGATTTACATCGTCCGGATAGTGAGTATTCTGATTAACATCGTCCGGATAGTGAGTATTCTGATTTACATCGTCCAGAAAGTATGTTCTCTGATTTACATCGTTCGTATAGTGAGTTCTCTGATTAACATCGTTCGTATAGTGAGTTCTCTGATTGACATCGTCCAGAAAGTATGTTTTCTGATTTACATCGTTCGTATAGTGAGTTCTCTGATTAACATCGTCCGTATAGTGAGTTCTCTGATTCACATCGTCCGTATAGTGAGTTCTCTGATTTACATCGTCCGGATAGTGAGTATTCTGATTTACATCGTCCGGATAGTGAGTATTCTGATAAACATCGTCCGGATAGTGAGTATTCTGATGTATATCGTCCGGATAGTGAGTATTCTGATTTACATCGTCCAGATAGAGAGTTCGAGGATTTACCTCATACAGAGTGATTCACAATGTCTGGATAATGCAGTCTCTGAATTATATTGTCCGAAAAGTGAGTTATCTTATTTATATCGTCCAGATTGCGAGTTCTCTAAATTTACATCGTCCGGATAATGAGTTGTCAGATTAACATCGTCCGGATAGTGAGTATTCTGATTTACATCGTCCAGAAAGTGAGTTCTCTGATTTACATCGTCCAGAAAGTGAGTTCTCTGATTTACATCGTCAGAATAGTAAGTTCTCTGATTAACATTGTCCAAGTAGTGTGTTTCTCTATCTTAATATTGCAAATAGCAAGTTCTCTTATTTAAATCGTCCAGAAAGTGAGTTCTCTGATTCACATTGTCCGGATAATGCATTCTCTGTATTACATGGTCCGAATAGTGAGTTATCTGATTTACATCGTGCGGATAATGAGTTGTCAGATTAACATCGTCCGGATAGTGTGTATTCTGATTTACATCGTCCAGAAAGTGAGTTTTCTGATTTACATCGCCGGAAAGTAAGTTGTCCGATTTACATTGTCCAGAAAGTTAATTCTCTGCTTTACATCGTCCAGATAGAGAGTTCTCTGCTAAACACCGTCCAGAAAGTGAGTTCTCTGATTTATATCGTCCAGATAGAGAGTTCTCTGATTTATATTGTCCGGATAGTGAGTTCTCTGATTTACATTGTTTGGGTCTCTGATTTACATTGTCCGAATCGTCAGTTATCTTATTTATATCGTATGGATAGTGAGTTCTCTGATTTACATCGTCCGGATAGTGTGTTCTATGATTTACATCGTCCGGATATTGAGTTTTCTTATTTACATCGTCCAGAAAGTGAGTTCTCTGATTGTCATCGTCCGGAAAGTGAGTTATCTGATTCACATTGTCCGGCTAATGCATTCTCTCTATTACATGGTCCGAATAGTGAGTGCTCTTATTTGTATCGCCCGGATAGTAAGTTATCTGATTTACATCGTCCGGATAATGAGTTGTCAGATTAACATCGTCCGGATAATGAGTTGTCAGATTAACATCGCCGGAAAGTGAGTATTCTGATTTACATTGTCCAGAAAGTTAATTCTCTGATTAACACCGTCCAGAAAGTGAGTTCTCTGATTTACATTGTCCTGATAGAGAGTTCTCTGATTTCCATTGTTTGGGTATTGCATTCTCTGATTTACATGGTCCGAATCGTGAGTTTTCCTATTTATATCGTGTGGATAGTGAGTTCTCTGATTTACATCGTCCGGATAGTGTGTTCTATGATTTACATCGTCCGGATAGTGAGTTCTATGATTTACATCTTCAGAATAGTGAGTTATCTGATTAACATTGTCCGAATAGTGTGTTCCTTGATTTCTATCTTCCGTATAGTGAGTTATCTAATTTGCATCGTCCGGATAGTGAGTTTTCTTAATTACATCGTCCATAAAGGGTGTTATCTTATTGTCATCGTCCGGAAAGTTAGTTATCCTATTAACATCACCCGGATAATGAGTTATCCTATTAACATCGTCCGGATAGAGAGTTATCCTATTAACATCGTCCGGATAGTGAGTTATCCTATTAACATCGACCGGATAGTGAGTTCCTTATTTACATCGTTCAACAAGTTTTTTTCCGATTTACATCATCGGGATAGTCAGTTTTCCGATTTACATTGTCCAGATAGTGAGTTTTCTGAAAAAATCGTATGATTAATTTAAGCCGTCCGGAGCAAGAGCTTTCAGATATAATGTGTCAAGATGATGACTTTCCTTTTTTAGATGTAAATTACCGGATACTGCTCATATATACACATAAACATAGCAAGTTTAATTTCAGTTTCACAAACGCTTGAAACTGATGTGTTAGTTACAATGTAGATGATTCGATATTCGGATACCCTGGTAATGGCGATCACTACTTACAGTTATTACAATACCACATATTAGAGACATTTAATTGATTTTCAGGCATTCATATCTTTATTCCTCCATAATTAAAAAAATAAACAAGTAGTGATGTAGAAATATATACGTGTACAAAGAAAAGGAATGTGACAAAATAAGAAAAGCAAAAGCAATTTATTGAATATTATTAAATAAAGTGCTACTTACAAATAAAAAAAAGATACACTACACAGTGTTTTAGCTTTTAGCAGCGTGTAAGCACAAAGTGTATTGGATATACATGAGTGTAGCGATACAAACATTATTGAAATATTAAGTCTGAAATTTTGTTCATAAACGAAAAACAGTACAATCTAAACGAGATTAGGTCTTTTACGTTAGTAAACAAATCTTGCAGTTCTAAAGCAAAAACCCCATAGCAAAGTACTAATAAAATCAAAGTACTGAAAGAACTGAAGGAGGCGTTGGTAAAATACTTGGACATAGAAAATAATGACATGTAAAGGGTGAAATTTTAAATAAAGCAATTATATATGCCAAAACGATTATTGATATACATTCAAGAGCAAGTTTTTTTTTTTTTTAAACTCAGACTACAATCCATCAAAGTTACCAGCTTATCAAACACTGGAATTTCAGATAATTTCTAACTGTTTGTTAATCAATATAAAAAGGGTTAAAAAGCAGATTAAACAGTAATTAGTGTGTTTCAATAAAGATTATTTTCGTGGTTTACATTATATTTCCAGAGTTTAAATTTAAGTTTTATTTTGCATTACAAATTAAAATTACAAAGCAATAATGTTGTCATCCAATTCAATACCTACAATCTTCTACAGTATCATAAAAGCTAGTCATTATTTACTTTAATGAAATCAATTCAAGTTTTTATTGTTTTCGTTTTTAATTGATTATATTGGTCAGTCATGAATTCACAGGAACTATATCTTCCCCAAGCATGATTAATATTCTTGAGCAATGTTCTAAAGCATGACACATTCTCTGACAATTCACATTTTCTCAAACATAATTGATTTCAGTATACAGGTATAATTGGTCGGACATGACAAATTGACAGTAACTGTATTTTCCTCATTCAATGATATAAAATCTCAGACAATGTTCTTAAGCATGGTATAAAATTTCATGGCAATGTTATCAAGCATGGTATAAAATCTCAAGCAATGTTCTCAAGCATGGTACAAAATATCAGGCAATGTTCTCAAGCATGATACAAAATATCAGGCAATGTTCTCAAGCATGGAACAAACTCTCAGGCAATGTTCTCAAGCATGGTACAAACTCTCAGGCAATGTTCACTTCTCAAGCATGATATGAATATGGTATAAACTCTCGGGCTAGTCGATGGGCCTTAAGACTATTACAAAACAAAACCATGCGGTAATACGATGCTCTAAATGTAAACAGAAAAATGCGAATGCGTAGCGTCACCCAAGGAGATTAAACAGTTGTATACATTCCTATTTTCGTAAAACCAATATAAAATGGGTTGAATACACATCGCGATTGTCTAACGTGTTAACGACTAACCGTCAGAGGAGTAGGCCTTTGTTGCATTATTGATAGTACTACATGTAGGACAGACAAAATGCGTTGAGCAAATAAGCAGAATTGTCAAAATTGGTTATATTTGACATCACAATTAAAGAGCAAAGTCTTCTTTCCACCTTCGGGCCTGTTCCCGTATTCAGATTACAACATTACAATAACGTTAACAGGATATTTGAATAAGTTAGTATTTCTTACATATACTTTGAACAAAGTGCTACAAAAGTTGTCTCAGTTGTCTAGCATTTTTAGTAATGGAGGCTACCACCAGACGTCGCAAATTCCGTACTTGCACTGGAAAGAAATTGCTGACGTCACATCTGATAGGTGATCTCTCCGTAAATACATATACAGCAACTTGATAGTCATTCACATTTTTTTTGCAAGAAATAAATCCCGTAAATCTACAATATCGGGATGGCAACAATCAATGCATCAGTGTACAAAAACATCTTCATCATAACAATTAAATTTTAATCATATAGTTCACAATCCGGACTAATTGTCCAAAACTGTGCAACTTTCTGACAAACTTAGCCAAATAAAACATTTAAAAACCATCAGAAAAAGTTAACTGGCGAAGGTACAAGAGAAGTCTGAAGTATTTTGAAACGACTAAAATCATTGATGGCATTCAAGCGAGTTTGCCATTCGTTCCTTCCTTTATAAAAAGCTTATATTTTTTACGATTTATTTCGATTGAACCTTCTTCCGGAATGTACCCGATTAGAATATCATACAAATAAGTTTGTAGATCATACTTATGTGAAATAAACCATATATTTTGAACTTCACCATCGGTACTCGTGAACATCTGATGATACATTTGTACAGTTGTAATAAACGCAATAAAACTAATTACTAAACGGCACAATGTGGCATACGAGTGTTCAACGATGATAACATGGATCTTCTCTTGCAGAAGGGATGTTAAAGTCAACATTTCTAAACAGATGTCAGATTTAGTATATAAAGGAAAACATTGAATCAATTTAACACTAAGATTTTGAATCTTTTCTAAACGACTCCAATCCGCAATGGAGCGTTTAAAAAGCAAGTCGACATCGTGTATATTAGGACGACCTAATTTATACTTGTCAAGATAGACACCAACGTGTATGGTACTTACCGCTTCATTTACTTATTTCGAACCTAGTAACCATTTACGTTCAGATCTTGATACATCGTGTTCGATCTATTAAAAACAATAAGGTATGTTTTGAAAGCATTATATATAAACCTCCATTTACATCTGTACCTGAAACACATGTTCATTGTAGGTGTACAGATCACCTCCAATAGTATGCGAAACACGCACTAAGTATACCGTTTTTCAATTTATCGACAATCTGTCCCTCTGTCGTGACGAACCGATTAGTCGGCACGATTGTCTGTAAAAATGATCAAAGATAATAGTAAAACTAATCCCTACCCTAAAATACATGGTGAATTTGGTCCATCCTACACAATGTATACACATTGGGACAGGTCAACTGCTGTACCTGAGGGGAAACGGCTTTTGCTACGTACACAAAACTGGTCGCATCCCGAACTTCAAGGAAATGTTGCAAAGATTTACCGTTCGGAGTTTGGAAACGATCAATCCGGAATGACTGTTAACTCAAAATATCAATAAGTATATATAGATAAGTCTACTACAATTGCGAAGTAACATTTTCGTACCCTTGTTATAAATTCCAACATATAACACTATTTTACACACTTGATTGTCGTAGAAAGTCTGTAGTCGGGACTGGTCCATGTTACGTTATAGACAGTCCGTACATCTTTTTCGGTGTTTGAGATTCCATTTTACCATTTTCACACCATTTCTGGTTGGTTCATGTTTCTTGATAGAGCGTCTGAGCCTCACTTTCTGTTTACAACAGAGGAATACAAAAGAGAATAAAGTAGGATGTATATGAATTGAATGTTATCACAATGAATGAGCAAACTATTTGATGTTTCCAGTTAAGGTTAGTTATATACTTTTTTCCCTATCACATCCAACATGTAAAACGATTTAAGACAGGTACCAATCCATCTTTGGTTTGCAATCAGTCACGTTGGTTTCATTTAATGGCATCAAATACCTGCTTAAAAATGACAACAGTGTTCTGAGTGTGATTATATAGAATAGATTGAGATTGACGTTGCCGAAATGTGCTACAGTTGTATCCAAACGATATTTGATTTTTGTTTTTAAACTGAACGGGTATGCTGAACATGAAGATCGCTACAATATGCAAAAGACCATTATATGATGTCATCAAGTAATACCGGTAAATTCTGTTCAGCGTCCCATACAGACAGTTATAGTTTATTGTTCACACCTTGCATATAATAAATAAGGTCCATTTAACATAACAGCACACGACCTTACCCGATAGCATCCAACGACCTGCCAATATCTGCTGCTTTTCGTCTAGTTTTGCTCTGACTTTCTTATCTGATTTAATAATAAGAATAAATGTACGTCATAATTCTGCTATGTATTTTCTAATATGTGTCGAACTCTAAGCAATCGTGTAATTCAAAACGAGTTTTCTATTTCGAAGTTCAACAGAAAAAAACATAACTCATTATGTTAACACAGAAAAATATCAATTAAAGTCAACCATGAATCGAAAAGACAATAAAACAAAAAAGAAAAAGAAAATATAGATTTACGCAAGTTGTACTGACGATGTTAAATGTCTCGCTCAATACCCATAATGCACAGCATTTACCAAAATTCTACCGTTTTAGTATAAACGTTTCCTTGTCCCTACATAATATTACTTTTTAAAATACCTTTATCTTTCTGCTCTCTAGCCTGGTTGCTTGTTAAACATGACTTGATAATGTAAACCGGCCAGAACAGCAAATTAAAAGGCACAGGGATTCTGGTTCGGAATTCCATGATCACCTGACTTCTATGGAATCGCCAGAACTGGTCCGAGTTATCCTTTATTTCTTCGAATCGGAAACTGTTAAAAAACGTAGATAAACCATGAAACGTCATATAAAGGTATAAATATATAAAATGTCAGACAAATACTGGTAACAGTCTTTCTACATTTGGCCATATTGTTTTGCTACATATTTAGTCTTAACCAATCTAAGAGCGATTTCCCTGTAAGAAACTTTCGCTTGATAGTCTTTGACAACAGACCCTTCTCTAAAGACCTCTGATGAAGATTAGAAGACAACGATTTTGAAACAACGCTTTTCATATATGATTTGATCACATTTTACTTTTTACTTAATAAAGTGGGTTCCTCTTTATAATGATATTTCAAGGCCGAACTGGTATGCTTAGGCTTTGGCTGTGTTGATGTTAAGATCGCAGGTAGATGATGCAACAAAAGCTTGACAGATGTGTAAGTTTGGCCGCACAGCATAAAGTAAATCCCACACATGAAAAAACATGTACACGTAAAATAACCTTCGAATGAATTCACAAAATCGTTGGTCAGACACTCTTAAAACGGTTTGTTTGAAGACGACATTTCTACTCAAAGGAAATTTATGTTAGATAGAGTAAATAGCACTATAATTGCTACACCTATACGACGTCTTTTCAATAACACAAATATGCATATGGTTATTATTTCAAACGTTAAATATTGAGGCCTCCAGCATAGTTGACCAATGCTTTTTTCTGCGGTTTAAAAAGTCCAAACTGATCCCAATCTTTCACAACAACCTCTTACATACCAAATAGCATGTATATTTAGCATGCATTTTCCTACATTTGAATTCATAATACAATTTGGCATTTTTTTTAATAAAACTGATGCTGTTGTTGATTCATAGTTTTAAAATATTGTATGGAGAATTAATGGTTTGTTGAAGCAGGAAAATACATTTTCCCAGTTTGATTGAGAATGCAGAATAGTTTTAATGAACATGGATATGTTGTTATAAGGAATTGAATTGGAATAATCAATCGCAATGAATTCAGTCATATTAACCATCAATGGTATTTTTACATTACAATAACCAATCAGAAATTAGGTTTAATGTAAAAATAAAAAAAACGATGATCATCTTGATTTGTGACGTCACAATATCACTGCAATTTTTCTTATTTTGACGTTGTATTCCTGTAACCCATGTCTTTGCATTATTGACAGGAAATTGACTTTCTGTTAAAGGAAGCCCATGTCTTTGTGAAGATAAAAGTTAGAAACAGAATATTCCTTAAAGTTATGTTTCACCCGGTTGAAAGTTTCTCATTCCCCTTTCACGTGTGCTTAAAATCATCCCTTCATGAAAGTAACTAGAACACTGACAGGTCAGTAAGGGCCCCGTCTTGTGGCAATATATCCCCCATAATCATCAAGAAGTAATCTGCCCATATAGCTGAGCTAGACTTTTGCTATTTGGACTTCAAAAAGAATCGCAAGGAAGCAAACTATACATTTTACATGTACTATGATGTGAGTCTTGTCTCCTTCCACCTCCATATTTGCTGGGCTAACAGTAACGGTAAATACCGGTGCAAAACTCATTTGTAAGCTTTGATTTGTTTTATTTCACCTTATATACCTCCTCAATCAAGAGCCAAGGTCAAAGTCATAGATCCACTTTGTCTTTGACCTTTGGACCCAAATGACATTGACCATTAACCCAGCGACCCTGGTCAGTTGACTTATTTTAACAAAATGTTCATCAGTGAAAAATACAAAACTTGACCTTGACCCCGTAACCTGGATCTAAGGTCAGTTGACTCTGTGGTAAGTTCTAAACAACATTAATTCATAATGTCATAACAAAATGTTCATCAGGGAAAGGGTACAACATTTAACCTTCACCTTTGACCCAGTGACCTTGACCTTTGGCCAGTTGACTCCTTGTTTATATCTGATCAACTTTGCTTCATAATGTCAGAATAAAATGTTCATCAGTGAAAAGATGTAAAATTTGACCTTGACCTTTGAACCTAATGACCTTGACCTTTCATCTCGACTTTTTACCTTAATGTGTATTTTTGTGAACTGAACATCTTGGCCAAGTTTCATGTACATTGGTCAATAAATATCAAAGTTATCAGCCAGAAACAAAATTTGTGGACGGACAGACAGAGTGACCCGTATCTCCGATACGGGGCCCTAATTATTATGAAGTTATTTTTTTGGCAAAATGAAAAGTGAATTAGTAATTGGTACGATATTCCTAATGACAACATGTTAGCTGTCTTTATGACTGTGTGTGTACTTGACAACCATATAAATATAATATAGACTAACGAAACATCCATCAAATACTCACCTGAACATAGCGATGATAAGGTTCACCAGTAACAGGTTCAGTATCAAGACGAAGAATCCAGACATAAGGGAGACCATCCAGTCTTTTTCAGGGCACCTCACGATGTTGGGGTCATTCATGTAGACGGTTTCATTGCGGCTGCAGGTGTCAGTAGAGTCTTCTCCTGATTTTGAAAGACGAGATTGTATCAAAGGGATTAAAAAAACAAATCCGCTAATGTCTTGAATTCATTTGAAACAATAATGGAGTAAATTAAAGAATGGGGAAAGGCGAATTATGACCTACCGGCCATTGAGTCCGACGACAATTTTTTTAAGATAACTAAGCTGCACTTTAATAAAAAATATATATATATATTAAATGACTGTGAAAAGACGATGACCATTGGAAACATACATGTTACTATCATTAAAGAAGAAGAACTCATTTACAGCTTTACCTAGCTTTGAGGAAATTTCATAAAAGATAAAGCTAAAAATGAATAAAACATAACAATGAACATGTAATATATGATTAAATAATGATTATCTAGACAAAACTTGCTTAACATCGCTGTTAGATGTCTTGAAATAATAGTAAGGAATTATATCGTCGAAAGCCTTTCATTACATGCTGAAAATATTGAAAAACGGATAATTTGTATGCTTTTGAAAAGTTTGACAGTAATAATGATACTGCTTCCTATTTTTCACACCATAACATTACTTGTTTTAAATCTGTATCACGTGCGAGAAGTGTTTTTAATTTTTTTTGCGTTGTGTTTGTGGCTAATTTGAACTGAACAGGTAATGTATGCAATTTCAATGTTATATCCAATGTCCAAGATTTTTACATGTTTGATTGCTTGATAAATGATTGCTTATCAATTAGTCTTTGACTTCGTAATATTCACCGACAGTACGATCGTTAATTAACAGGATGTAATAATCGTTACGATGCAATGTGAACGATCAGCAATGCACAAACGTTTCGCTTAAATTTGAACCTATTCTTATAGTATTGTACATAGTACAGTACCATGGCTGTATTTGAAAAACACACTAATTCTGTGGTGTTACCGTTACTGTATTTCCATTATACACTAATTATGAGGTATTACCTTCACTGTATTTACACCATACACTAATTCTGTGTTATTACCGTCGCTGTATTTAACATTTTACAACATTCTGTGGTGATACCGTTACTATATTTACATTAAACTATAATTCTGTGGTGTTACCGTTACTGTATTCACACTATACTATAATTCTGTGGTGATACCGTTACTGTATTTACATTAAACTATAATTCTGTGGTGATACCGTTACTGTATTTACATTATACACTAATTATGTGGTGTTACCGTTACTGTATTTTCACCATACAATAACTCTGTGGTATAACGGTTACTGTATTTACACCATACAATAACTCTGTGGTATAACCGTTACTGTATTTTCACCATACAATAACTCTGTGGTATAACGGTTACTATATTTACACCATACAATATTCCTGTGGTATAACGGTTACTGTATTTACAACATACAATAATTTAGTGGTATTATCGTTACTGTATTTACATTATACTATAATTATGTTGTGTTACCATACTATATTTACATTATACTATAATTCAGTGGAGTTACCGTTACTGTATTTACATTAAGCTATAATTCGGTGGTGTTACCGTTACTGTATTTAAAGAATATACTTATACTGTGGTTTAAACACTATTGTAGTTCCATTATAGAATCATTCTGTGGTATTACCGTCGTTGTATTTACATCATACAATAATTCTGTGGTATTACCGTTACTGTATTTACATTACAGAACAGTTCTGTGTATTACCGTCGCTGTATTTATATTTTACAACATTTCTGTGGTGTTACTCTTACTGTATTTACTATATTCACTAATTTTGTGGAAGTACCGTTACTGTATTTACACCATACAATAACTCTGTGGTATAACGGTTACGGTATTTACACCATAAAATAACTCTGTGGTATAACGGTTACTATATTTACACCATACAATAACCCTGTGTTATAACCGTTACTGTATTTACATTATACTATAATTTTGTTGTGTTACCGTTACTGTATTTATTTTATTCACTTATTCTGTGGTATTACCGTTACTGTATTTTCATACAATAATTCTGTGGTATTACCGTTACTGTACTTACATCATACAATAATTCTGTGGTGTTACGGTTACTGTATCTACACAAACAATAATTCTGTGGTGTAACGGTTACTGTATTTACACCATACACTAATTCTGTGCTATTACCGTCGCTGTATTTACACCATACAATAATTCTGTGGTATTACCGTTATTATATTTACACCATACAATACTGTATTTAATGTATTCACTAATTCTGTGGTATTACCGTTACTGTATTTAGAAACAATAATTCTGTGGTATTACCGTTACTGTATTTACACCATACAATAATTCGGTTGTATTACCGTGGCTGTATATACACCATATAATAATTTTGTGGTATTACCGTTACTGTATTTTCACCATACAATAATTTTGTGGTATTATCGTGGCTGTATTTACACCATACAATAATTTTATTGTATTACCGTTACTGTATTTACAACATACACTAATTTTGTTGTATTACCGTCGCTGTATTTACATTGTACAATATTTCTGTGTCTTTCCGAAGTTGTTTTTACATTTAACAACGTTTCTGTGGGGTTACCGTACTGTATTTATATTATACAACATGTCTGTGGTATAACTGTTATTGTATTTACGTTATACTATAATTATGTTATGTTACCGTAATTTTTACATTATACTATAATTCTGTGGTGTTACCGTTACTGTATTTACTTTATTCACTAATTCTATGGAATTACCGTTATTGTATTTACACCATACAATAATGATGTGGTATTACCGTCGCTGTATTTACACCATACAATAATTTTGTGTCTTACCGAAGTTGTTTTTACATTTAACAACATTTCTGTGGGGTTACCGTTACTGTTTTTATCATTAATCATCATTTCTGTGGTATAACCGTTACTGTATCTACATTATACTATAATTATGTTGTGTTACCGTACTATATTTACATTATACTATAATTATGTTGTGTTACCGTTACTGTATTTACATTAAGCTATAATTCAGTGGAGTTACCGTTACTGTATTTACATTAAGCTATGATTCAGTGGAGTTACCGTTACTGTATTTACATTAAGCTATGATTCAGTGGAGTTACCGTTACTGTATTTACATTAAGCTATGATTCAGTGGAGTTACCGTTACTGTATTTACATTAAGCTATGATTCAGTGGAGTTACCGTTACTGTATTTACATTAAGCTATGATTCAGTGGAGTTACCGTTACTGTATTTACATTAAGCTATGATTCAGTGGAGTTACCGTTACTGTATTTACATTAAGCTATAATTCAGTGGTGTTACCGTTACTGTATTTACATTATACACCATTTCTGTGATATAACCGTTACTCTATTTACATTACACTATAATTCAGTGGTGTTACCGTTACTGTATTTACATTAAGCTATAATTCAGTGGTGGTATCGTTTCTGTATTTACATTATACTATAATTATGTTGTGTTACCATACTAGATTTTCATTATACTATAATTTTTTTGTGTTACCGTTACTGCATTTACATTATACACTATTTCTGTGATATAACAGTTACTCTATTTACATTACACTATATTTCAGTGGTGTTACCGTTACTGTATTTACATTAAACTATAAGTCAGTGGTGTTACCGTTACTGTATTTACATTAACTATAAGTCAGTGGTGTTACCGTTACTGTATTTACATTAAACTATAAGTCAGTGGTGTTAGCGTTACTGTACTTAAAGAATATACTAATACTGTGGTGTAAACACTATTGTAGTTACATTATAGAATCATTCTGTGGTATTACCGTCGCTGTATTTACATCATACAATAATTCTGTGGTATTACTGTACTGTATTTACATTACACAACAATTCTGTAGTGTTTTTAAATGCATTTTCACGGGGCTCTATGCAAGTTGAAACTCGATGGTTTAAAGTCAGTATTTCCATTCCATCCATTGGTTTTACTGAAATTTATCTACTAGTTTTTGTGCACTCACCATAGATTTCATCTTTGAACTCTCCATAAATTGACCAGTAAGGATAATAGATGATTTGCCAGACACTCCAATATCTCATGCCATGAGGTGAGAACATGTCGTAGTGGTTTGGATAGATATTGGCGTGGTAGAATACTCCAGCACTCAAGATAAATACCGCCATGATGACTACAAATCGCATCAACTCTTTGAGCTGAAAGAAAGAAATTGGGTAATACACATCGATTGGTTTTTTGTCACTTATATAACGACAAAAAATCAGAAATCAAATTAAACACTTTTCATACATACGTAACTGAGGCATGAACAGTTTCATTTGAGAGAATATGAAATAGTTTATTTACATTGAATATATGTAAATTATATTTATATTTACATTAGAGGTATCTTTATACATATATATAACGAAGGAAACATACTCCCTCTTTCAACATGATGACAGTGGGGCCAATCCTCCTTGAAATCAATAAAACATGGAGATACCTCATGAACATGAGAAATAAACCAACGCTGTAAAATCGTCTGGATATATCGAAACTTGTTGTTTCGTAACCAAATCGGACAATTATCCCGATGGTAAGCACTAAGTAAGACAAAGCGTCCATTCCATTCCAGAAGTTGTGCATGTGGTTCCAAGCTCTACGTCGCCATTGCTTCGAATTCAAATATTGCTAAGAGAAACATACAAAAGATGAGAATATCAATACGTGTACGCATTCCAAAAGGGAAAAATATAACTCAAAATAAGTCCATGAACCATGCACAGTCGTCTATAGTACTATCCTTGCGAAAACAATATAGCTAAACTTGGATAATTCATCAGAATGGCAGATACTATGTAAATGAATTTAAAATTATAAAATGATATATCTATATCAGCAGTAGCCGATATAACCTAAGATTTTAAACAGTCGTATCATTGAAATATTCACATACAGCATAGACCGAAAAACAATTCTTCTTTTGGAATTGCAATATTCAGTGAAAATTGATTCTGTTCCGAATGATAATAGTTATTTTGATCTGAAGAATAACCTCCTTAAATAGAAAGATCTTACCCGGATCGTGTAGAAGGCTGGCGGTACATACTCCTCAATGATGTCAGCGAACAGCCACAGGTACGCGCAGTACTCATAGATTGACTTCTTGTCAATTGGCCATTTTTCTGTTGTGATGTTGGTCATGGTAAAAGCGCTTAAGCAGACCAAGAACAGGCAGAAGATGCTCTAAAACCAGCATCATATCAATAATGCAGTATAACCAGCATCATAGCAATAAGTCAGTATAACCAGCATCATAGCAATAAGATAGCAATAAGTCAGTATAACCAGCATCATAGCAATAAGTCAGTATAACCAACATCATAGCAATAAGTCAGTGTAACTAGCATCATAGCAATAAGTCAGCTTTACCAGACACGATCAGGTACCTGTAGCAGTTTATTTTAATATTTCATAATTTATTATTCCAATCTGGTGAGTTCGATGGTTGAGTGACTGTAATATACATTCTAACGTAAACTGAAGTAACGGAAAAGTCTGTGACGAAGATGATGCAAAGAATTAAAATAACAGTTATTAAATAAATCATCTCAATTAAAATGTACTTACGTAATGGATAAAGAACTTCAAAAAGGGAGACGTGATCCAAGCAGTCAAAGGGATTATGAAGTTCTTGACACGAACGGTACAACACTTTTCTTCCTGGTTCAATGGAAAGGTAGAAAAGGTGGAATTTTGTACTTTAATGTACATGAAAACGAATGCTACTGCTGTGATTTAACTTTTTCTTTAGGTACTTTTAATTATGACCAAAATCACAGAAAATGTCAGCCCACTGTCCTGTTCAAGATGTTAATCGTATTTGTCTTTTTCAAATAAGCCTATTTTTTTTTGTCTGCGAAAAAATGCATTCATGCTTTGCGATTAATAAAATAATGCTTACTGAGGCTTGGAACTGTTTTCTGAGAAACATGTTGATTTTGATTTAAAATACACGAATAGTTTTATCTATTTTGATGATCTAAAGATGTAATTGATAGCTTTTCCCGAATGAAGAAATGTCTGAGATAGTATATTAATTATGAACGATTGTTTTTTGGTATTTTCTTTAATACCTTTGAATATTTTAAATTATGCAAAATAAATTTCTTTCTTACACTGCTGTTCATATGTTCATTGCAGTCGAATGTTACAATCGAAATATGTTCATTTCTATTCATAAAAACAAAGGTGGTAAATCGTTTTATTATCACAAACATATTTCCATTATGAACGCCTCACCTTGGTTTCGTACAAATCGTTGTCGTGAAAGAATCCCGCGCCATACCAAATCCTGTCAAAACTTCTTTGTGGGACGTGATGTGAAACAAACTGAGAGATATTGTGTGCTTGGGAAAATTCTAGACAGCTTTCTTTAATACCCCAAACAGACGTAGAATTTTCTACTTCCAGGACAAAAATGGCTTCCATTTCATTATTTTCGAAGAGGCTTTGAGTCACATCAATGGCTCTCTGGCGAAACACACTGTTAATAAACAGTACAAAATACTGCAAAATGTCTGATATGCACATTATTTTTCTGATCAACTTGGCCCTATGTTCTAGGTAAAAAGATTATGAGCATATTAATTCAATATGATTTATCGGGATTTGTATGTAGTCGATTTTTTTGTCAATCCACCAATCCCTAATTTGGGTTTCATACTGTCCTGAGCATGGTCTTCAACCTATCAACCACTAATATAGCTTTCCCATTGTGCAGATAATGTTCACTAACTATATAGCTAGCTGACCCATTTTCCAGAGCATTATTATGTGTTTTGTCAAGATTCATTTACCGTCAGTCACTCAATGGACAGATCAGGATGTTTTCTAAACAATTTGTACAATTAATTCAGTGTCTTCTAGTCAATTTTGCAGAAGATTATTGCTATAAGAAGCAATACTTTACCGGGAATGCATAAGCATTGTTCTCTTGAAATCAGTTTCCTTTTTCGAATGAGCTCGCCTTGACATCTTATGTAGTATAGCACTCGCAACGAGAGCAGTAACTGAAATAATAAATCAATGGCATTGCATTACAAAGGGTTATTAAAGGCTTTTATTAATGGATAGAAGTAATATAAAATAACATGTATAAATGAAAAAGGCACATTGAATTGGGAACCACATAGTAGTTCTACGTAAAAAGATTGAGAGCCTGTTACAAAAACATTGTGTGTTTATATCTTCCCAGCAGCATTGTTATGAACGTGGAGAATGAATACAAAACGAGTGTTCTTAATGGCAATAGATTTCGATCTTCTGGTAATTCCTCCACGAAATGGCTCTTCGTTTCACGAAACAACGGTTTCAATAGGTCAAGGGTGACCAACTCATGTACCAACCACAGATAAAGTTGTTCCAATAGGTGCCTAGCGCATGCATATCAAATCAAAACTGTGAACTGTGGTCTCATTTATTAGACGAGCTGCATAGTTTCTTTACCCGCACAACATGGTATTTCCATTATTCAACTGAGAGGTATTGGGTAAATAATATCAAGCCTTAAATCTGTAGTAACGAACTCTCGGAGTTCTTTAATGATTCCGATCTGGTCGTTTCTACTTGTTCATTAAACTATTGATGAATAACAGTAATTGCTTTTGTTTGTTTGTCTAATTCTCATACCTGACCTTATTCGGAAAATCGTTATCTGCTGCTTGCATTAAATAAGAAGTGCACTTACAAGCCAAAGTTATCTGTCAATCCGCTGTTGGATGGTCAATTTGCACAAAGAGTTTTGAAATTTTGGGTTGTTTTCTTTGTTAGATATTGTGCCGTGCCATACTTTTATCGATATAAGTTTGAATAGCGGTTATGTTGACACCGCGGTATTTTTGTTTTGCTTCATAATATTCTGATATATTTCTGCATGTTTTTATTGTGTATTCTACATGAACTGTATAGTCTTCTTTTTTTATAATTCCACATATAACTTCAATTTTTCAATATTTAGTACAAATACGTAAAAATCCTAACAATTAAGAATATTGTTAATATTTACGGATCGGCTCAGGAGAACGTTTCCAAAATAGTTCTGCCATTTCCATTTTGTTTGTCAACACTGCCCACAAGAGTAAATCAGATGGCGTCATCAAATTATCCCCCTCAGGCTCCTTCTTTTCTTTCTTTGCTGAAATAAAAATATATTGAGATTGATGGAACTTCCCGTGGTGTTAACAAGTAAAAACAACAGTTCACCACTTGAGCAAGATTTAGTAAGCATTGCACCAATCGTATATAAGATATTAAAATAAGATAAATGGCGTGCTATTTATTTGCATAATTCAACTATAGCGACATATAACAAGTAAATAATTTATGTACGTCAATCACTCACCAATTTTATAGGGAATAATGTCGCATCCAACCTCCCATACATCTTCTCTTTTCTTTGGGAAGGCCTCGTCGCCGGGAAGCTGAAAATTTTGTTGGGTTTAAAAACAGGAGCCTATAGTGCTTAATATTGATTTGCTGATGTTTCAGTGTCCGTGTAATTATAAGGTTCTTCAGTACAGCTGTTTAGGTGTGTTTGTATTTATTGTTGATATCTGTTGTCATGTGACCGTGTCTGGACATAGGTGGAGTACATAATGTGCTGGAATTAATCAGTATGTCTATACAAGTTATGGTCACGACAAATCTTATCCTCGTTATTTTATTAGTAAAATTGCATATATGAAGTCACTTAGTATCTGTCAGATGAAGTTTTATTTTTCTGCCCAATCATATCTATCGTTTAAATACCAAATACACTTTTGTATACGTACCTTTATGATTTCTGCGATACATGACCGTATCTGTAAGATAATGGAGATCTGTTTGAGAATGTATGTCACGCAAGTGATTATAAGTTAGCCGGATTTCAAAACACATCAGCCAATAATTACGATGGATTTTATAGTATGTAAATATTCGTATCCATTTTAAACTTTGTTGTTTTTCCTAATCCTAAAGGATAGTTTCAGTCATTAAGGAAATAATATTATGTATAATCGGTCCTGTAAATTGCTACAATTTATCAACGGTATAGCTATAATATATCAGCGGTATAGCTTCAATGCATAATGGGTCTAGCTACAATATATCAGCGGTATAGCTACAATATATCAGTGGTATAGCTACAATGTATCAGCAAAAAGCTACAATGTACAATCGGTATTGCTATAATAAATCAGCGGTATAGCAATAATAAATCAGCGGCATAGCTAAAATATATCAGCGGTATAGCTAAACGGCATAGTTACAATATAAAAGATATCAGCGGTATGGCTACAATTTATCAGCGGTATAGCTACAATGTAAAATATATCAAGAACGGTATAGCTACAATATGTCAGCGGTTTAGTTAAAATATATCAGCGGTATAGCTACAATATATCAGCGGTATAGCTACAATATATCAGCTGTATACCTAATAAATATAATAAATATAATATATCTGCGAAATAGCTACATCGTAATCAGCAGGATAGCTTAACTATATCAATGGCAATAGCTACAATGTAATCAGTGATAAGAGCTATAATGTAGCAACAGTGCAGCTTCTATGTATCAGCGGTATAGTTATAACATATCAGCGGTATAGCTTTAATGTATCAGTGGTATAGCTATAATATATCAGCAGTGTAGCTGTAATGTATGCGTGGTATAGCTACATTGTATCAGCAGTGTAGCTTCAGTGTATCGGCAGTGTAGCTTCAATGTATCAGCGGTATAGCTTAAATATATCAGCAGTGTAGCTTCAATGTATTAGCGGTATAGCTACAATATATCAGGGGTATAGCTACAATGCATGAGCAGTATGGCTACAATACATCAGGGGTATAGCTACAATGTATCAGCAGTGTAGCTTCAATGTATCAGCAGTGTAGCTATAATATATCAGCGGTATAGCTACAATGCATCAGCAGTGTAGCTTCTATGTATCAGCGGTATAGTTATAACATATCAGCGTTATAGCTTCTATGTATCAGTGGTATAGCTATAATATATCAGCAGTGTAGCTTTAATGTATGCGCGGTATAGCTACACTGTATCAGCAGTGTAGCTTCAATGTATCAGCGGTATAGCTTTAATATATCAGCAGTGTAGCTTCAATGTATCAGCGGTATAGCTACACTATATCAGGGATATAGCTACAATGCATGAGCAGTATGGCTACAATATATCAGGGGTATAGCTACAATGTATCAGCGGTATAGCTTTAATATATCAGCAGTTTAGCTTCAATGTATCAGCGGTATAGCTACACTGTATACGCGGGGTATAGCTTTAATGTATCACCGGAAAGGCTACACTATATCAACGGTTTAGTAATAATGTGTTTGCGGAAAAGCTACAATATGTCAGCGTTTAGCTACAATGTACAATGTATCAGCAGTGTAGCTATAATTGATCCGCGGTATAGCTTCTATGAATCAGCGGTTTAGCTATACATTGTATCATGTATCAGCGGTATAGCTTTAATGTATCAGCGGAAAAGCTACACTATATCAACGGTTTAGTAATAATGTGATTGCGGAAAAGCTACAATATGTCAACGTTTAGCTACAATGTACAATGTATCAGCAGTGTAGCTTCAATGTATCAGCAGTACTGCTACAATATATAAGGGGTATAGCTTTAATGTATCAGCGGAAAGGCTACACTATATCAGCGATGTAGTAATACTGTGTTGACGGAAAAGCTACAATTTTTCATCGGTATAGCTACAACATATCAGCGGTATAGCTACACTGTAGACGCGGTTAAGTAACAATGTATCAGCGTTATAGCTAAACACTTTCTGTGGTATAGCTACAATATATCAGCGGTATAGCTACAATTTATCAGCAGTGAAGTTTTAATGTATCAGCGGTATAGCTAAAATATAATTATAAGCGATATAGTTATAATATAGTTATAATTTAGCAGCGGTATAGCTAAAATATATCAGCGGTTTAGCTATTATATATCAGCGGTATAGCTACAATATATCAGCTGTATAGCTTTAAGGTATCAGCGGAAAGGCTACACTATATCAACGGTTTAGTAATTATGTGTTGGCGGAAAAGCTACAATATGTCAGCGTTTAGCTACAATGTACAATGTATCAGCAGTGTAGCTTCAATGTATCAGCGGCATAGCTACAATATATCAATGGTATAGCTACAATGTACAATGTATCAGCAGTGTAGCTTCAATGTATCAGCGGCATAGCTACAATATATCGGTGGTATAGCTACAATGTATCAGCAAAAAGCTACAATGTATAATCGGTATTGCTTTAATAAAGCAGCGGTATAGCAATAATAAATCAGTGTTATAGCTATAATTTATCAGCGGTATAGCTAAAATATATCAACGGTATAGCTAAACGGTATAGCTTCAATGTAAAAGATATCAGCGGTATAGCTACAATATATCAGCGGTATTTCTACAATGTAAAATATATCAACAACGGTAGAGCTACAATATATTAGCGGAATAGCTACAATATATCAGCTGTTTACCTACAATATATCAGGGAAATAGCTATATCGTAATCAGCAGGATAGCTTAACTATATCAATGGCAATAGCTACAATGTAATCAGTGATAAGAGCCATAATGTAGCAGCAGTGCAGCTTCTATGTATCAGTGGTATAGTTATACAATGTAACATATCAGCGGTATAGTTACAATATAGCAACGGTATAGCTAAAATATATCAGCGGTATAGCTATAATATATTAGCGGTATAGCTACAATATATCAGCGGTATAGCTTTAATGTATCAGCGGAAAAGCTACACTATATCAACGGTTTAGTAATAATGTGTTGGCGAAAAAGCTACAATATGTCAGCGTTTAGCTATAATGTACAATTTATCAGCAGTGTAGCTTCAATGTATCAGCAGTATAGCTACAATATATCAGCAGTATAGCTTTATTGTATCAGCGGTATAGCTACAATATATCAGCAGTGTAGCTATAATTGATCCGCGGTATAGCTTCTATGAATCAGCGGTATAGCTATACATTGTATCAGCGGTATTGCTACAATATATAAGGGGTATAGCTTTAATGTATTAGCGGAAAGGCTACACTATATCAGCGATGTAGTAATACTGTGTTGACGGAAAAGCTACAATACATGTATGTCATCGGTATAGCTACAATATATCTGTGGTATAGCTACAATGTATCAGGGGTAAAGTTACAATAAGTCAGCGGTATAGCTACACTGTATACGCGGTATAACTATAATGTATCTGCTGTAAAGCTACAATATGTCAGCGGTATAGCCACACTGTATACGCGGTAAAGTAACAATGTATCAGCGGTATAGCTATAATATATCTGCTGTATAGCTACAATATATCAGCGGGATAGCTATACATTATCTGCGGTATAGCTACAATTAGCTTTAGTGCAAGAATTTAAAAGCGATATATCTACAGTGTATGAGCGGTTTTGCTAAAATGTATAAGCGGTCAAGATGCAATATACCAGAGGGCCATCTATAGCTACAATGTGTAACCGGTATAGCTACAATGTATCATCTGAAGTGTTCAATACATATAATTGAAGCTGTATAGGTAAAATGAATGAGTATGTACATTTAGCTACGACGTATTATCGGTTGCGCTACGATGTTGCATCATGAGAACTATGTACAATGATGTTTTGAACGCTCGTCGTTCCCATTAGTGAACGTGAACAAGAAGAAAACATCATTCCTGTAAACATTTGTCTTATCATAAAAGAATTAGAGATAGTATTTTACCTGGCTTTTCTCCTTTCTTTCGTCGTATAGCTGCAAAATAGGAAATTAAATCATGTTTGAGACTAAAATACTGGTACTAAGATAATAAAACGCACTTAATTATTGTACATTTATCATGCAAATTAAGCAAATGTTTTTTTTTACTCTATGTATCGAAAGGATGAAGTTCACAGGAGGAATAATCAAAAATACTTTTTTAAAAATCACCAGCGGTTTCTAGTATGTGCATTAAAAAATGTATCTGATGATTTTGTTTATGACAAAAATAACCAGTATTAACACATTTGAGCTATATATTTAAATAAGTCTAAATATTTTTTAAATATTATATTGAGGGCTCGCCGTACACCAGTTCTTCGATCTTAATATACTGAATCATCGCAACTGTTATTAAAGACATGTTATTTACCTGGTCCTCAATTCACAGTTAGATATATTAAGTTAATTCATATATCCTTAAATAAAAAGAACGATAAGTAAAAAAAAGCATATCATCCCCCTCACATCAATACGGAACAGGGATTAGGAGACAAAGTGTGAAGTACATTAACAAGTATACCTATCAGTATTTCAATATTTTGTGTTTTTATCATAATATATAATCACATACTACTGTGTGTGTCACCCGGGAGATATATCTTACCTGTTGATATAAATCTTTGGCTTGTGAAAATTCGAGTGTCACTCCTTTGTCTACCAGGACTTCAGTGATATCGTACAGGTTCTCCTTTAGAGCGTATAGTAGAAGATCTCGGCCAAACTTAAAACAAAGATAAAGTTTTATTAGTTACACGTACGTTATATACATGTATGTATGATGGAGGAACACGTTTCATATGTAACAAAGTGTTAGAAGCCATGCTTTATCCCTGTGCTGCAAGATGTGCAAGTTGTTCTCACCACGGATACACAATATCGTAACATAGCCTTCTCCAGGAATATGTATTCTATTAAGTCACCTGTTACTATTCAAATGTCACTGGCGAGTAGCGACGTTTTTGGATTTGATATAATTCACATGAAGTGTGGTTCAGGTCACGGTGTAGTTTTTTAATTGGGATATATTTAAATATTGTATCTACTCACCGCACCGTCGCCAATGACAGTTGTTTGGCTAGTTTGGAGCATCTGGTACAATAAGTATAGTGCTATTGGTGACGGTTTTAACTCTTTCTGTATGTGATCCTCTTCGGTTTGACTAGAAGGGCGGACAGCCTGCTCAGATATTGGCACAATCCTACTAGTCCGCCGTGTCATGTTGTTGGGTGCGGTTGTATACTCTGCTGGCGGCGGAACATCTAAAGTAATATAAAATATATATCAGGAAAAGTGTATGTAACTGCAACAGATTACTCAACAGTCACTCTAAATTATATGTCAATTAATTTAAACTGTCTAAGTTATGTATCTTGTAATCATTTTAATGAAATATCTTCAAGATACATGTAATTGTGATTACCATAACTGACAGACATATACTTAAGTTTCATTGTTTTACCTCTCGAAATAAAATTGCAAAGATTTAAGACTCATCATCACCATTGGTCACGGCTATAGGGTTTATATCAGGCCGGTACTCGTCGAAAACTGCTGCCGTAGCCCCTCCTTCAACATGAGACATTGCCCATGTTCTAATAATACTCTCTGTCACTTTGTCTTTCAAAGACGTTGTACTTTCAGTATGTATGTTAAACTCAGAAACCTAAAATGCGAGGAAAGGGATAGGGTATCAATAGTCCGCCGCACACAACATTCAAAACCAAACTAAAATATCCGGACTCTAAAAATAAAAATAGGAAACACACATCAATGAATGTTTTTAAGACAACCCAAACAACTGTTTTTCATAATAAATGATAATGTTAGATTAAGAAAATTCGTTGAAACCTTAACAACGATTCGTAAAAACATATTTATCATAAAAAGTTATGCCGTACTCCGAGATTTTAACTTCCTGACAAATTGCGTGTATATCCAAATGTTGTTAGTGTTGGCTAATGCCCTGTATATCTTAAAAAATGATTGATGATGTTGTATAAATGTGAACAATTTTCAATCCGGTGAAGAAATGTCATAGCTCAACATGTAATGAAAGCAAATTTAAATGTCACGATACTCTGATCTTTTGATCATGGCCTGCTGCGTCTTCGTTACGGAGGCAATATAAACACACATTTGTAATATGTTTTCATATGATCAATCGTTAGCCTGTTTATGTCAAAACCAGGATATGCAGTTTGATTTACCTTGCTTCTATTGTTCTTGATGGTCTCTATATCATTTTCTAACGATTTGAAGTTTTCCTTGGTGAAACAAATCCCGAACAGCAACGGTGCACGAGTCTTCAGAGCGACATCATCTCTACAAATCAATCAAACGTTTCTTAGTTTTGTTAGTGTTTTAAAAATCATTTTTCATCCGTTTAGCTAATTAGCTCTCCAAAATGGGAGTATACCATGATACGGAATAGTTCCCCGATTCGATGGAGTTAAATCAGCTTATACGGATATGAGTTGAACGTTTCCTACTCTTTGAGGATTTGTTTGGAATATATAAGGTTAAAGCTTGTGTCCAACACTCCTTAAAGATTTCTAGTGAAATGTTTAGAAATTGCTTTGACCTGTGTAACCAACCTTTCCGCAGACCTAGCATCAAAACTGAGCTTTAATTAAGAATAACAATTGAGCGATATGACATTTATAAAACCTTCATTAACGTAAGTCTCCAACCTCGTTTATTCTATTATTGATACAATTACCACTTAAAAATACAAAAATACAGGTGTCACAGATATAGCAAATCTTACTCCAAACAGTATCCAATCAGATCCGCGGCCATTCCAGATCCCCGCACCAACAGTACTGGAATGTTGTTCTCTACAGCTCTGGCCACGTGGTTAATTGTGTCAAGGTCACCCTCAACCACCACAACAATGGTTGGTAATTTCATTTCTAATCAGGAAAATTTGAACAGTTATAATTACGTAGAATGATATTTTATTACTGGCAATAGACAAAACTATTTGATTTCTATGTTATATATTACTCTTAACTTTTCAACATAATTGTAAACGTTGCAGGTCAAACGGTGATAGTAAGACTAAACATACCAAACACAAAATACCGTAAGTCTGGTCGTTTACCACCTCTGCTTAGAGGAACATAGCGTACACTGAGTAAACAACATCAATTGCCTCCGTTTAATCACCTTTATCTCTCTGTTTTCAGACACTTCATGAGCACCTCTGATAAGTCTGTTATCTTTATAAATGGATCATGTGATTGGTAAACATCGAGGAATGTTGTCCGGTATTTAGGGTTCACACATCGTGTACACGTGTTATAATGTACGTGACAAGTGACTGTGGGATAGTATATTACCTTAAGCCTAGTATAATATTTCAGTATGGTTGTAAACAAGAAATATTTTCTTCAATCTGAATAATCAGCTTGGAAAAATGTAGTGCCACATTTTTACATTATACTCGAACAATGTTCGTATTGAACGTGTCGCATCGTTTAAAGACCAACTGGTCCCTTTGTCAAGCTATGACTGAGTGAGCGATTTGTATTGCTTGCATGTACAACGAATACCAACCCATACAAAAAGATTATCTGAAAGAAATTACAAAAAAATTGATTATCTTCCCATAACTTAAATGTAGAAAGAGGGCTGAATTGTCGAGTTTGTAATTTAGATGATGTTGAAGTTGAGTTTTATTTTATTCTTAAATACCCATGTTATTTTGATTTGCGAGCAAATTATTTGAAACTTATAACATTAATAAGCCAAGCAAATTGATAAGACTACTACTGAGTGTGAAAAAAACAAAAGAATATTAGGGAAATATATAAAATATGCAAATTCGAGAAAAAAACAATTATTATAAATAGCTCAGTTGCACTCTCCAAATATATGGAACCGTTTCTTTTTGTAATTGTGTTATGAGTGTGTGTAATGTTGTGTAATGTTATTTTGTATTTTGCACGGTAAATATTGCACTTTTGGTGTATGTATATGTAACAAGGCAAGGCAATCCATAGTTCCCCACCGGTAATGATATCTACTAAACAAATCAATTATGTCAGGAAGCATCGGTCACAGTGAGGATATATAGTGACCTACTTCTTGTACTCCGATATCCCGAGATGTTTTTGTACACCAAACCTGGTGACTCCGATATCCCGAGATGTTTTTGTACCCCAAACCTGGTGACTCCGATATCCCGATATGTTTTTGTACACCAAACCTGGTGACTCCGATATCCCGAGATGTTTTTGTAGAAGATATTTCCCAGACAAACTGTTTCAAAAATAAAGGTCAAAGGTCAAGTCATAGGTCACTGTGACCTAAACCATGTACTCTGCCATTCCAAGATGTCCTTTTCCACCAAAATTGGTAACTCTAGGTGAAATACTATAGAAGATATGTCCCGGATGAACTTTTTCAAACGCTTAGGTCAAAGGTCAAAGCATAGGTCACAGTGAGGTCATAGTGACCTTCTTTTTGCACTCTGCACTCTGCCATACCAAGATGTCTTTGTTCACCAAATCTGATTACTCCAGGTGAAGTAGTACATAAGATATGCCCAGGAAATCTTTCTCAAAAGTAAAGATTAAATGTTAAGTCATAGATCACTGTGACTTAATTTGTGCACTCTGACCTCTGCCATCCCAAAATGTCCGTGTACACCAAATCTTGTTACTTCAGGAGAAATAGTACAGAAGATATGCCCCGGACAAACTTTTTCAAAAGTTAAGGTCAAGTCATAGGTCAAACAGACCAACATCTTGCACTCTAAAGAGGAAAGCATCTATTAGTCTCCGGGCTGTATGCAATCCTCATTAAAGAAATAAAGAAGTTTTCAAAGGCAAAGGTCAAAGAATCGGTCACAGTGAGGTCAAATTGAACTTAATCTGTTAGGTTACCCATAGTGAAATAGTATAGAAGATATGTCCCTGACAAACTTCTTGGACGGAAGGACGTAAGAAAGGACGGACGGACAGACGGACGGACGGGCGGACGGAGTGCAAACCATTAGCCCTTCCCCCTCGGGAACCGTTTGGGGACAAATAAAGAACTTGAAAACTATGTGACGAGATAGAGTGTTTACACACTGCATCCCTGTATCGTCATCTGAATGACTCATACACCATACCAGTCACATATTTGTTTAAATGTGTGTGAACTCTATTTTCTATAGGCGAAACGTCCAATGTCGAGTGACATATGAACTTTACAATTAAGTCGTATCCTTGTGTGGAATCGGGGGTCTTTCTTGCACAAATCACTCGACAATCCCTTTGATGTTTCTTGTGGTTTATTACATTTAAATCCCTAAAATGATATACAAATACTTATTTTACAATACAGACACATGTTAGACAAATTGCTATCGAACACACCGCACAGTAATTTTAAACAAAACATGACGCGAAAATCGAATATTTAAAAAGATAAGAACACAATTCTACGACTTCTAGATAAAAGACAACCTTGGTATAGAATATAATTTTTATTTTATTTCTACTCCCGACTAATTTAGACAGAGGAATTTACGTTAAGTCTGAAATAATAATCTACCCAATACTATTAGATTAATTATATGTTTATTCTGTAAATGACAACCATGCATGTGGTGCTGAGGATCCTTTTAATCACTTACCGAGTTTACCAATCGAGTCAAGTAGCCATCGATCATATATAGATTTCAGGCTTTCCAATACCATCGTAAATGTAGGTGCCAAAGTGAAGAAAGCAAGGGAGAGAAGGGGGAGAAAGACGAGACAGAAAAGAAGCAACGCATTGCGCATTCATTTCCGAAGTGGTCAGACCTTACACATGACATCACATATACAATGTGCATAATACAGGTCCTAGTAACAGGTATCCTGAAAACGAAAGTACAGGGCACGTGATGCAGATGCACAAACGGAATAGGTTACTCACTTAAACAAATCTCATGGAGTAAAGTACTTATTTTCTATCAAATCCACATAATCAATATTTAAGAAAAAACATGAAATAGACACTTAATTCAACAGGGTGCTACAGTTGCACAGGCAAACAATACAAATCGCTCACTCACTCATAGCTTGACAAAGGGACCAGTCGGTCTTAAAACGTGTTGACACGTTTAATACGTACATTGTTTGTGTATAAAGTAGAACTATGATATTATACAATTAGTTTTTTTGTCGCCAATTAACACCGTCGTAACATGGCCTCTTTTACTGTATAGAAGTTAAGCATCATCAGTAAATATGTATTTTATGGAATTAGAGTTGTCGAAGTGTCGGAGACACTATTTGCTTTACCGAAGTATAAACGACAGAACAACTTCACGACGGAAAGAGCCATATAATACTGAGTTCATAAACGATCATATTTTGTGATTTTCTTAATGAAATAACCTATTGACTCTACAATGACAGAGAGCAGAGCCCGATCGAGAGACAACCTCAAATAATAGTACAAAACAGGGGAATAATTTACAATATACTTTCGGAAGTCATATTCCGATGGTTACAATTTGTATTCACACGTGGGCGGTGATATATATAAATGTTTCTGCCGTTCACTGGGCAGTTTTTTTTTATATTTAGTTATCAAACAAAACTACAGTAACATAATATTTGATGATGAGTGACTATATAATTTCGGTCTGTCTAGCCTCACCTGATACACAGATAATATTGTTCCGTGATAATAATATACAACCCTACATATTGCAGTTTTAACCACAATTTCCAATATTGTGATATAAACAAAGATGTTCATACTTACTGAATTGTTTTCCTGAATTTTTATTCAATTTCAGTGGCGTAATCATAATTGCAGACAATTTTTCCTCTAAGAAGAGCATTGTTTCAGAAACATTGTTCAACTGGATCTTTTCTTTTTCATCTAGAAGCTGTTTTACCTTTTCAGGAATCATTATCTTTTTCCCTTCTTCTTTTTCCTGAAAAGCAAATCAATTTTTGATCATTTTTTTCCCATATCGATGAAGGAAAATGAAATTTTGAAATGTTAATAATCCTATTTGAAAAAAAGTTAGATACGAATATATGCTCCTTTGTCGTTTTCGTGAGTTGTCACTGCATTTATCATAGGAAATGCTGCGTATGGTCAGATGTTAGATACAGGTACTGGTCCATAGGTGTGAAATACAAAACCTTAACAAATAAAACATGTTTACGTTCATAATCTAACTTTGCAATTTTATAATCACGAATATACTGTTTCAAATTATATTAGCATTATTCTTAATGTTCCTTTCATGATATATAACTGTGTAGGTAAACTATTGAATATATGTGTATTTATAATATAAACCTATAAGCATGTAAACTTGTAAACAAATACATGGGCTTGGTTTGGTGAGTTGGTTACGTTAAAAACACCTGGTGTGTGTGATTGTCGTTATCATCAGATGTTGTTTCTTACATACCCTCGTTAGTTTGTAACACCTGGTAGGTGTGATTGTCGTTATCATCAGATGTTGTTTCTTACATACCCTCGTCAGTTTGTAACACCTGGTAGGTGTGATTGTCGTTATCATCAGATGTTGTTTCTTACATACCCTCGTCAGTTTGTAACACCTGGTAGGTGTGATTGTCGTTATCATCAGATGTTGTTTCTTACATACCCTCGTCAGTTTGTAACACCTGGTAGGTGTGATTGTCGTTATCATCAGATGTTGTTTCTTACATACCCTCGTCAGTTTGTAACACCTGGTAGGTGTGATTGTCGTTATCATCAGATGTTGTTTCTTACATACCCTCGTCAGTTTGTAACACCTGGTAGGTGTGATTGTCGTTATCATCAGATGTTGTTTCTTACATACCCTCGTCAGTTTGTAACACCTGGTAGGTGTGATTGTCGTTATCATCAGATGTTGTTTCTTACATACCCTCGTCAGTTTGTAACACCTGGTAGGTGTGATTGTCGTTATCATCAGATGTTGTTTCTTACATACCCTCGTCAGTTTGTAACACCTGGTAGGTGTGATTGTCGTTATCATCAGATGTTGTTTCTTACATACCCTCGTCAGTTTGTAACACCTGGTAGGTGTGATTGTCGTTATCATCAGATGTTGTTTCTTACATACCCTCGTCAGTTTGTAACACCTGGTAGGTGTGATTGTCGTTATCATCAGATGTTGTTTCTTACATACCCTCGTCAGTTTGTAACACCTGGTAGGTGTGATTGTCGTTATCATCAGATGTTGTTTCTTACATACCCTCGTCAGTTTGTAACACCTGGTAGGTGTGATTGTCGTTATCATCAGATGTTGTTTCTTACATACCCTCGTCAGTTTGTAACACCTGGTAGGTGTGATTGTCGTTATCATCAGATGTTGTTTCTTACATACCCTCGTCAGTTTGTAACACCTGGTAGGTGTGATTGTCGTTATCATCAGATGTTGTTTCTTACATACCCTCGTCAGTTTGTCACACCTGGTATGTGTGATTGTCGTTATCATCAGGCTTTGTTTCTTACATATCCTCGTCAGTTTGTTTCGACGATTTGTTCTAATAGTTTTTATGGAGGGTTGCTTTATGAAGGGATACTAACCGCTGATCCGTTTAAAAAATGATCGGACAGACTGTTAGAAGTATAAGGCCTGTGGATCACCTGGCACTGCTCTAATTCCCAATAGTGTTACTGTAAAATCTTTAGATCTTTATATATGAATTTGAGTTAAGTGTGTCACATTTATTCGAGATGTTTGAAATGAATTGCATGAATGATTCGACGGAACGAGTCATAAAATATTATTAGATTATATCAGCGGTCGAGTGTTGCATTAACAAAGCATAGATACGACATCAAAGATCGACTTTCGCGTCCAAGTCATTTCAGCTTATTGATAAACAAATCATAAAGTATATGTTACTAGAATAATACACTTATTTTACACATACACTTCACCTTAATTCCTATCAAGCAGAACGTGTTCGGGTCGTCTTCAGACTTCGCTAGGTCCCATTTGTCTCCTGGTTTCTTTCCCTTGTTCTCGTCTACGTTTGTATGTTCTTCGCTCGGTTTCAGCATTTGCCTAAACTCCTTTCTGGCGTCCATAGCCAGCTTGGTGACCGTCAACCACCTTTGGTCATTCGTTTTCTTTTCAGGGTTTGGTGGATTTATGCATTCACAGAAAACCCAAGGATCTAAGTGGGATTTAAAAGACATTGTCAAAACATAAAAAACTGTATACAACAAAACGGAAAGAAATTCCGAAACAAAAAACTTCATATGATTCTAAAATATAAGAGTAGACAACTCCCTCGATAACTCATCTGATATTCTTTGCTAAGCGAGACGTTCGGTGTCATGTTCATTCCTTTTACATCATATTTCGTGTCATTGTCATCGGCATAATTATAATGATTTCGTTGGATAGAATCTTAGAGAAATACTAAAATGTTAAAATTAAAACATGATGCGGGCCTCATTAGAATGACGTTTTCGCCACTCGGGCACATTTGAGATATTTTTGGAAACTTGTCTGGATATCACTGACGCTCTAGGACTTTGTTAAGCTGAATTCGACCTCAAGAACCTTTCACTAATAATGACTTGTATTCGAGTTTTTTGGGTAGTCTCCATACATCTATAATTTAAATGTGCGATTATCACCAACTAAAGGAAAGATCTTATGATACAAAATACAGAAAGTAAAGAACATCATGAGAATCTCATCAGTAATGTATATATTTTTCATCCTTATTATTCTTTTATAATTTCAATCTAGGTTTTGAGCCAATGTAAAATCTGTAAAATACTTCCAAAATCCTTGAGAGTGTCCACTAGAGCTTCTTTGAATTTCGCTTTCGGCCATGGCTTTGGAACGAATCCAATCGAATCTCCCACCAGAAAGGCCGCAAGTGTGGGCTGTTGTGTGGTATAGGTTGACACTCCGCTGTTCGTGGCTACAATACAAAAACGAACGTTTAAAGAATAAACGCATTTGTATTACATATTTTTATACAGATAATTACTGCAGGTTTTAATTGATTTAGTATAAAACGCTGCATGAATTTCATGGTTTAGTACATGATACAGACTTATGTAGCTGTGACAAGGCGATAGGACTAAATTTCGCTTTAAAATATTTTTAGTCCTAGTTATTTTAAGGTAATAACAAATGTGGGACACATTTTCACCCAGCAGGGGAGTATGTAACCCAGGTATATATATGGTTTATATATATATATAGGTCAGAGAAGTAATATAGACGGTAAATTCCCATATAACACTGTATCCTAATGGAGGTTATGCATCTATATATTACAACGAGTGCTGTTAACTGTCTGTATACACGTGTGTTGTCCCGTCTGGTAAACAGTGTATGTGACGTCATCAGTTCCGAATGCATGTACCTGTGTTGTAACATTCTGACTGAATTGTACTTACGACGTAGACCTTGGACCTGCCCCTTGCACGAATAAAGCACTCTGTATACCCGCCACTTTATTCTGGCTACTGGGTAAATACTTACTGCCCAGTGGTCATTCTTACAATCCGACTCGTGAGAGACGGATCTGTACTCCAGATTGACTGATAGAGGCGTTGATATATTGACTATATAGAGGGCGTGAATACATATTGCCGCCAGCATGTATTAGCAGGCTATACTAGGAACATCATACCCGGTATGTATAACCGTACTAATGTAATATCTATCGCGTGATTGTAACATTTAGTTATTTGAATTAATATAGTTATAGCGGTTTGTATTCAGAGGTCCGGTACCTCGGTCGGCGCGGAAGTTGTGTAGTATTTATTATATGTATATGAGAGGGTAAATGCATTTATTGTATTGTCCTGTAATGTAGGTTTCTCGGAGCCAGTAACAAAAAGATATATACATAAACAACTTGTCCGAGTTTTGATGTTAAAAACTGAGCACCCGGTGACAATACATTTTTCCATGAACAGCTGTTAAATAGTGTAATGTCTGAACTGGTCTGATATTATTTTCATTTATAATTTAGTGTCATTTTCTATCACAAACGAAAGGACAGTACCAATGGTCCTGTCGCAATATTTTATGAGTAGGTACATTAGTCAACATTAACGTAATATTGACAAATATTGATGGTTGTGTAGCTATGCTGAACTTACAGTGATATGTACCTCGCGAGTGTTATCTCCCTTATGATACATTGGTTAATATTCAACAGCTGAATTGTTTTTAAAGATCACAACTATCAGAAAATTGTCATTTAAATGTGACAATTTTACAAACACCTGTGGTGAACATAAATACCGGTACCGCTTTGTAGATAGGTTACTCCGTGTTTCACTTAGCACACGATGATATTTTGTCTGTGTTATCCTTGGCGGAGATAGATATTTGCAGACAGGTGTCAGTACGTAGTCCTCGTAGACAACTATTATACTAATAAAGCTATATCGGAAATATGAAAAACCCTTTTTGAAGGAGGCTTTAGTAACTTATACTGAATACATTGAGAAACAAAAACTTAACTGACACTATCATTGTGGTTTGAAACACAAGTCAAGGTAGATAACTCTCCAGTATTCTATCAAAGTGTTAATCAGATATGGTCTGTAATGTAAGAAATTTTCGTTATTCATAGGAAGATGTCTGCTGAAACGATGATTTCTCCCAACTATGCACACTATTTAATGGTTTGAGAAGCTCCCCTACACATATATGGCCACTGACACACAACATATTCTAGAGATATGATATCGTTATTTCTAAAAGAACATTTAACACAAGATATATAAACAGAAGAAAACGGGGCTACTATGCAGATACATTGCTCAATACATAAGTTTTTAGAACAACAACTGAGGTAACACTCATATTGTTTTAGTACAGACTTACACACAGAATACAGGAAACCAATAGTTTTCTTACTCACTTAATGTACTAAATAATTCGCTGTGTACCTTGTGTAAACAAGTACATGAAACTCTCTTACTCAAATAATGTACTAAATAATTCGCTGTGTACCTTGTGTAAGCAAGTACATGAAACTCTCTTACTCAATTAATGTACTAAAAAATTCGCTGTGTACCTTGTGTAAGCAAGTACATGAAACTCTCTTACTCAATTAATGTACTAAATAATCCGCTGTGTACCTTGTGTAAGCAAATACATGGAACTCTCTTACTCAATTAATGTACTAAAAAAATCGCTGTGTACCTTGTGTAAACAAGTACATGAACTCTCTTACTCAATTAATGTACTAAATAATTCGCTGTGTAACTTGTGTAAACAAGTACATGGAACTCTCTTACCCAATTAATGTACTAAATAATTCGCTGTGTACCTTGTGTAAACAAGTACATGGAACTCTCTTACTCAAGTTTTATGAATGTGAACATGCTCTTAAGTAATCACTTGAAAATTGGATATTTGCCCAAACTGTCTTTGATATCAATCTAAATTTCCTTTAAAAGAGATATAATATATCTTATTTAGGAAATAAGGTAAACCATTCAATAAACATAATCTTACTGTGGTGATTGTGAAACTATATATTTATAAACAAATTGTGAAAGGGAATTTGATCTTGATTTTTTTTATTGTAATATAAAAATATATGCATTAATATAACTCACCAAAGGCAAGTTAAATTCATTTCTCTAGAAATGGAGACTGTTTCAAAGTCTGATAGTGCATATACTCCATTTGACACTAAATTAACTATTACATGGTACTATATGTTGGTACTTATATTAATTTAGCTGAGGATTTGTCTACTCCAACCAATGTCATTATCAACTATGCGATCAGGACTGATTCTCTGTACAATCATGTTAAGTTTATCATAATGCACAAATAATTCAAATATTCTGTTTGTGTATAATCACTTATATGTACGAATGGGTTATACATGTAGCATGTAATGGTGTTTGTAATAAATATGCGGTAAATCATGCCAGAGAGAGTGGGAAAGTAAGAAAAACAAGTTTTAAATAAAAATTACAGTTACCAATAAACTACGTGCTATTTTGTTGCTCTTCTCTGAATAATTTATGTGAAATACACGTATAGATCTTTTCTGGCGCATACTGGTGGCCATGCCTTATTGTATAAGAGAATGTCAATTAATGCAAACAAACAAAACACGTGGTATGACACGTCTAAGTTATTTTAAGAGTAACTACAAATATATGTAGCAGGTCATAACATATCTGAAAAAATGTGTTTGTTTTTAAATAATATCAAGTTAAGTGGCAAAATAGATTAATCAGATTTGAATTTGACCTCTGACCCTCGGATAGATTTAGACCCTCGGATCTGAAAGCAGTCCCAAATGAGAAACTTCTATATTGTTGCAGGTCATGAGGCGTGAGTATACAAAATCTTAACAAACACTTTTGATGAAGGAAGCGCTATATGAAGTTTGGTTAGGTCGGAAAAAGGGGGGGTATCGGTCGGCTTAACAAACAGTTGCCAAGGCGACAACAAAAACAAAATGGAGGTTTTGGTATACATAATTTGTGTAAAAGGGAGAATAACATGTTATAAACCGATACAAATCGATATATTAAACATAATTCGTTTATATAAAGATCTCTGTCAATATATTCATACAACACTATCTTTAAGTATACCAACCTGCTGCATTTTTCGTTGCCTGAAGACATGATACGCCTGAACTCATGGCGGATTCACAAGGACGGCTGTAGGGGTACTATCAACGCACAAGGAGTGACGTGTCTTAGGTGCAACCCTCTATTGCGTATATTTAGGGAATCATTGTTCCCGTGTCAGTTAAATCCCATTTGGTCGACCTTGCAGAAAAATATTGGTTTAGAAATCATTGTTCCCATGTCATTTAAATAACATTCGGTCAACCTTGCAGAAAAAATATTGGTTCAATGATCATTCTGTTTACACAGATGAGATTTTCCTTACACGTTAAAAGGTTTCTACAAGGTAATACAAATACATTCACATGTATATAATGAAGTATTATTCAAGCAAAACTGTGAAGTTTTATCAAAGTTCTGCTGTAACAAGTTCGGTTAAGAAAGACATAATATTTTATCAACATGCAAGTATTTCAACAGCAATCATATGTTTTACATATACAGGTATTTGTGGTTCGAATAATGTGATTATGTTTTATTTCATCACAGATTACACTTCGTTGAAAATTCGTCACAAAGCATACGTGTGTTACATCAACCGACTTATTTACACTTATTGCAGTGTTTGTACCTCCATTCAAAATCAGAAAAACTACGCAAAAAGAGAAAAAAAATCACATTTCCAACATCGTTTACTTCTAACAAATTACATACAGAGACAATTTCTTCTTGTATTAACACAATTGTGTTTTTCATAATTTTTTATCAAAACATTCTGATAAACGACATATTTTAGTGTCGTCCATACTGTAGGTGTGTGTCTGCTATTTAGAGTAAATACTGTAGGTATGTGTCTGCTATTTAGAGTAAATACTGTAGGTATGTGTCTGTTATTTAGAGTAAATACTGTAGGTATGTGTCTGTTATTTAGAGTAAACACTGTAGGTATGTGTCTGTTATTTAGAGTAAATACTGTAGGTATGTGTCTGTTATTTAGAGTAAACACTGTAGGTATGTGTCTGTTATTTAGAGTAAACACTGTAGGTATGTGTCTGTTATTTAGAGTAAATACTGTAGGTATGTGTCTGCTATTTAGAGTAAACACTGTAGGTATGTGTCTGTTATTTAGAGTAAATACTGTAGGTATGTGTCTGTTATTTAGAGTAAACACTGTAGGTATGTGTCTGTTATTTAGAGTAAACACTGTAGGTATGTGTCTGTTATTTAGAGTAAATACTGTAGGTATGTGTCTGTTATTTAGAGTAAACACTGTAGGTATGTGTCTGTTATTAAGAGTAAATACTGTAGATGTGTGTCTGTTATTAAGAGTAAATAATGTAGGTATGTGTCTGTTATTAAGAGTAAATACTGTAGGGATGTGTCTGTTATTTCGAGTAAACACTGTAGTTATGTGTCAGTTATTTAGAGTAAACACTGTAGGTATGTGCCTGTTATTTAGAGTAAATACTGTAGGTATGTGTCTGTTATTTAGAGTAAATACTGTAGGCATTACTCTGCTATTTAGATAAATGTATCATGAATGATGCCATACTGATATGTTATATACAGTTGTGGTACCGCACAACACACCAAAAATAGCGTGCGCACACCGTGCATACATCGTTCACACACCGTCCGCACATCGTCCACACATGGTGCGCACAACTGTGCGATTTAGCAATCGTTCGCCCCGTTGTGCGCTTCTCTCCGCACAACTGTGCGATTTGGTATCATTTGTAGATCAAAATTACGGAATGACAAAAATACGGAAGGCTTGTATCCGATAATGTACACTGTGTATATATCTGTAATTTCTCATCACAATAATCAAGATTATACAATTTCACAATGCGTGTTACACAGTATTACAGCGACCGTTAGGCTGTCAAGAATGGGTTTGGCTCCAAGGTAACAGAACAGGTAAATAACAATTTTATGAGTGTCCGGAGTTTTACCTGACCAGTGCCTGACACACAGAGCTGATATGCGATACCGTTTGACCGTAATGAATAGTATTTGTTATTTGCATTCGCTTGCCTATAGCTCCCCTTCACCTGGATTTTCACACCCCGGCCTTACCCGACGAGTTACGTAAATGCCCCAGGCGGGGAGAAAACTACGGTCCAGGTACATGTACAAAGTGGTTATGTTTACCTGTATTGCTGATACTGTGTTGTAATTTTACATGTGTCGATTAAGTTTGTTTAAAAACACAGAAAACACAATTCCTCAATATAAGAATATATAGACGGAAAGATAAGTATATAGATGTTGCTAGAATATAGAAACATACGTAAACATCAAGTTTACATGTTTAAACACGAAACCGTATAAATTGTTAAGGCATTCCTCAATTTACACCAACCACGATTGTTATCGCACAACGTCCGTCCATCGTGCACACATATGTGCGCAAGCAATGATCGTTCAGCTTTTTATCGTTCGCCCATCGTGCACACACCGTTCACACACCGTGCACACATCGTGCGCACACCGCACATCGTGTAACGTTGTGCGATCCCGCAACTGTAGTTACCGATTCATACCCATGTTTCGATTTTGTGAAGGTAAGATGTTTCTATACATTGACAGGTGACGTAAGATTTTACTGTTTTTTAAATATCAGGAAAACATAAAAAATAGTTGAGTATTCAATGGAGTTCTTGCTGGTAATATGATAAAAATAAGAGTAAATTATGATAATGTAAACTTGATATGAAACCCAATACAGAAGCTAGAGGAAATGTTAACTAGAAATATAAACTAGATATAAAAACCCAGCAGAGAGAGAAGTTAGAGCTAACGTAAACTGGAAACAAAACCTAGCAGAGAAGCGAGATGTAAGCTAAACTAGATATACAAATCCAGCAGAGAGGTTAGAGGTGATGTAAACTAGATATACAAATCCAGCAGAGAGGTTAGAGATATTGTAAACAAAAGTAGAGAAGTTAGAGGTAAGGAAAACTGGATAAAAAATAGTTGATGGGGTTCTTTCTGGTAATGATAACAAAATGTATTGTAAAGTAAACTAGATATGAACCACAGGAGAAAACTAATGGTAAAGTAAACTAGATATAAACCACAGGAGAGAACTAATGGTAAAGTAAACTAGATATAAACTAAGCATATAAGCTAGAGGTAGGTAAACTAGATATAAAACCTAACAGAGAGGTTAGAGGTAAGGTAAACTAGATATAAAACCCAACAGATAAGTTAGAGGTAAGGAAAAATAGATGTGAACCACATGAGAGAACTAATGGTAAAGTAAACTAGATATAAACTAAGCATATAAGCTAGAGGTAAGGTAAACTAGATATAGAACCCAACAGAGAGGTTAGATGTGATGTAAACTAGATATAAAACCCAACAGAGAGGTAAGAGGTCATGTAAACTAAATATATAACCCAACAGAGAAGCGAGAGGTAAGGTAAACTAGATATAAAACCCAACACAGAAGTCGGAGCTAACGTAACCTAGATATAAAAGCCAAGAGAGATGCTAGAGGTCTTGTAAACTAGATATTAAACCCAACAGAGAAGTTAGAAGTAATGTAAACTAAATATAAAACCTAAAAGAGAAGCTAGAGGTCAGGTTAACTAAATATAAAACCCAACACAAGAAGTCGGAGCTAACGTAAACTAGATATAAGCCAACAGAGAAGTGAGAGTTAATGCAAATACGACACAAAACCAAGTAGAGAAGTTAGAGGCTAGTAAAACTAAACATAATACCCAACAGAGAAGATAGGGGTCAGATTAACAAGATATCAACCCAGCACATATCTAGAGATAGGGATGATGTAAATTAGATGTAAAAACTCAATAGATGAACTAAATGAAGTGTTTGTTTTAGATATTTAATCCAGCAGAATAATAAGCGAAAATAAAAGCTCCATGTAGATATACCAGTATCTAGCAAACAGAATAACTAGTTTATTAAGAATAGTCCTTTATACTTAATAAAAGGCATTCGGACGATACGGATGTATATGTCTGACGGATAAACATTACCCGGCCCCGGATATTACATATGTGTATACATCCTACGAAGCATACTTATACAACTAACATATCCCAACACCGTATACTGGAGATTATTATTATATATGTTATTTATTGATTATTCCATGCAAACCAAACAATCTAGTGCATAAGTAAACATAAGTTGGATAGAAAACTGTAATGGTGGAGAAAGCGAGAAAGCAAGCGTGCACACATTTGCTGAAGAACAACATAGCAATACCAGGTAAAGGGTAGTCTACTGTCTGTTATGGTTCCTTTTCATCGAATGATTATACATGTGATACGATCTAGTGCTTGTGAGTCGACAAGTGTACGCTGTAAAATTTAAAAATAGATCAGTTCATAAAAACAAAACGGATCGTGTGCCAAGTATGAAATAAGAATATCGTGTCCCTTTATTAGAGGTGATTATACATGTACCTGTACCTTGGTTCAGTAACGGCTAGCAGTCTTTTGATATATGAATTTATTAGTTTTAAAAACTTCAACGATGATTATATAATTAAACAAAATATCCATATTTACGCTTATGCGAATTAGACAAGAAAAAATAAAAATATCCCTTTGTATATACTTAGATGAGACTTCTATTAAAACATAATCCCAAGAAAACATTGAAACATTATTTTACTATATTTTTCATACAATTAAACAAATGGATATCACCAAAACGAGAAAGATATTTATATCACATGCCAAATAAACATGTTATATACCATAATTATACCATGCAAACCAAACAATCTAGTGCATAAGTAAACATAAGTTAGATAGAAAATTAATGGTGGAGAACATAGCAATACCAGGTAAAGGGTAGTCTAGTGTCGGTTATGGTTTCTTTTCTTCGAATGATTATACATGTTATACGGTCTAGTGTTTGTAAGTAGACCAGTGTTCGCTGTAAAATTTAAAAATAGATCAGTTCATACAAACATGAAATAAGAATATCGTGTCCCTTTATTAGGAGTGAACGCTCAGTCTTATGCAAATAACACATTGACTAGTTTGTAGAAAAATGTAACACTCTCACGGTGCATAAGTATATACATGTAATGATAAAAAATACACGTCACACGTTTTTTTGGACATGGTTACATTGTTTTTACTTTATTGTTATTAAAAAGTCATTTTTCGGTTAATTGAAAATTGACCAGATCACTTTTTGTTTAAAATGTAATCAAATAACGATTAACATATTCTAGTATTGTATATATTAATATAAAGGTAGAAGTAAGTTCATGCCCTAGGATGGAAAAGGTTTAACATAATACAGTACATCCTTAGTGCTAGGTTCTTATATCCTAGGATGAAGTAGATTTAATACAATACGGTGAGTTCTAATCTTAGGGTAAAGTAAATTTAACAAAACAAAATAAGTTAGCTATTTAATATTGTATTGATACATGTAATACATGGGATATTCAGTTTAATGGATTGTATGTCGTAGTATCGTTTCATGAAGACTCTTTATTAAAGCGTGTAATTATTCATATCTCTGCCTTATACAAAGGGCAGATTGCCTTGAAAGTTTGCAAAAGTCCTTTGTCTGCACTATATATCTGTAGAAATAATATATCCAACGTACATTTGTTTGTTCGGATCCAGTGCCAATATTAGATCATACTAAATATATGTTATGAGTCCTATAATTGTACATCGATCGAAACATTTTTTATTAAAGGAATGCTTATTTATATTGTTAAGATAATTTCAAATTTAGAGAAAATCCTAGTTGACTTTCCGTAACAATATTTGCTGACCTCAGACTTGTATTAAGAGGTTTTTCATGGATCAAATTAAAAGTGAATTTTTTTCTTTGGTTAATCGATGATGATGATGATGATAAAAAACAATTATATAACCCGTGATTATCGGTAATGGTCATTTTCCAATCTAGTGAGTTTATAATCAAAACTAATATATTTTGAAGACGATATTGGAGATTGAACTTATACCATTAATCATTATCTATCCTCTCTATTAGTGGATATATCAGGATAGATTCCGAACACAGCTCGTGGTTACCTTACTGTGTTAAAAAGAATACCAAAGTACAGTATACAGTTGTTTCATGCCTTATCAGTCAACAGGCAATTTTACTGTTGACTGATAAGGCATGAAACAACTGTCTTGTTACTTGACCAATGAAAAACAAAAAGTTCCATGTCAAATGTGATATTTAGATCTACCGACAGATGACCGTCAACAATCCAGTACCAAAAACGCTTGATCATCGGGGTGCTTGTAATTATAGGTGCGTTCGATTACCTAACACGTGACCAGTCAACGGTCGTAGGGTAGCAAGCACCAGTTCATCACTTGACCAGTCAACAGTCGTAGGGTAGCAAGCACCAGTTCATCACGTGACCAGTCAACAGTCGTAGGGTAGCAAGCACCGGTTCATCACGTGACCAGTCAAACAGTTATACGGTAGCACACATTAGCTATAGTTCGTTTGGTGAATTGTCTGCGAAACAGTCGAAATTGATTAATATGCATTTATATAGCGAGTCGGGTAACAGTATAATCTGTCTGTACCGGGTATGTCTACTAAAATATACGGCCTAGTTGATTGCAAGGTCTATACAGAGGCATTGGTGTTTGTCGCATTGTACCAAATTGTTCAGAAGTATTAAATTTCATATTTATTGAAACGGACACGAAGCACTTAGGTAGAAATATAAAATACATCGACGTATTAACCTAACTGTTGATTAAAAGTACAGTCAACGGATTTAAAGTCCAAAGTTTGCGGAATAGACGACTGAATTTACATAACAAGACCAGATGAACAACAGGCTCATAATTAGGCATATCGAAAAATAATGTTTATGTGTCATCACGAGTAATACTCTATGAATTAATATCATATAATTACATAGGAAAACTATTTATATCAATAGAAATATCTGTACATAAATATATTCTCCCTTGATAATGTTACTGCATAAGTGTATAATCAAATGCTTTCTTTATCTAGAAAAATATAGAATTCCGAAAGTTCAAATATGGATTGTATACACCGTCCATTCCTTTTTAAGGTAAGCAAGGCATATCTCGTTTATACCCACTCAATAACACGTTTGTATTGAAATGATGTATACATAACACCTTGAAGAACGTTATTATCTTAGCCTGTCCTATTAGTACACACACGGTCGTCCGGATCCATGCCGTAAAATAGACTCGCTCAGGTTTTATAATTTGTATGTAACTGTTCATTATGTGAATATATGTTTCATGTTATTATGGTATTTACAAACCCTTTTATTTATGTTGTCAATACTCATCTGTGTCTGCCAAGTAATCTGTCTATGCCCAATAGATACCTGCTATATCATGTATCCCTTTTTTATCATGAAAGATTTGGTTTATGATTACGGATAAGCATCCCTTTTATTTATGTTGTCAATACTCATCTGTGTCTGCCAAGTAATCTGTCTATGCCCAATAGATACCTGCTATATCATGTATCCCTTTTTTATCATGAAAGATTTGGTTTATGATTACGGATAAGCATCACTTTTATTTATGTTGTCAATACTCATCTGTGTCTGCCAAGTAATCTGTCTATGCCCAATAGATACCTGCTATATCATGTATCCCTTTTTTATCATGAAAGATTTGGTTTATGATTACGGATAAGCATCACAACCTCCATAATTAAAGAGTTAAACAAGTGGTGATGTAGAAATATATACGTGTACAAAGAAAAGTAATGTGACAAAATAACAAAAGCAAAATAAATTTATTGAAAAATAAAGTGCTTCTTACAAATAAAAAAGAGACACACTACACAGTATTTTAGCTTTTACCAGCGTGTAAGCACAAAGTGTATTGGATGTACATGAGTGTAGTAAAATATTTGGACATGGAAAATAATGACATGTAAAAGGTAAAATTTAAAAAAAGCAATTATATATGCCAATACGAGTATTGATATACATTCAAGAGCAAGTTCGTTTTTTTAAACTCAGACTACAATCCATCAAAGTTACCCGCTTATCAAACACTGTAATTTCCGATAATTTTTAACTAGAACTGTCGCCAGTATTACTGACTATTACCTTTCGTTCCCCCATCCAGTCTGATTCCCACTCTGGCCCAAACACTTGTTAACAAATATAAAAAGGGTAGTAGTCAAAGTTGCACAACTTCCGTGTACATATGTGCTGAGTACATAATTTTCGTGAAGTTTGCGTGAAAACTGTTGGAAGAGTTGTTCGGACAAGATTCTGTCTACAAACATATAGGAAAGGGGCCTAACGGTCATACAAATAGTTGAATCAAAAACTAAGTGCAGCTGTACAACTTCAGTGTATGCTGACTACATCAGTGAAGTTTCCAAATGTTTAGATGAAAACTGTAGGAGTTGGCCAGACAAGTTTGTGTCTACAAACGTAGGAAAAAGGGCAAAACTGCCATAATAATACACGGATCAAAATGGAAAACACATGTGCACATCATATGTGTGTGCTGACTACATCAGTGAAGTTTCAAACAGTTTGGGAGTTGTTCAGACAAGATTGTGTCTTTAATCATAACTAAAAGGGGCAAAACTGGATCCAAAAAATAAGCCTAGGTCGCAACATCAGTGTGGGATCAGTGTGTTTCAATAAAGATTATTTTCGTGGTTTANTTTTTTTTTTTTTTTTTTTTTTTTTTTTTTTTTTTTTTACATATTTCCAATGAAATATTGTAATATTCTGGTATTTTCAACACACAACTTAGTCAAACTCTCATCATGTCATGTCTTCTACAATATCATATAAGCTAGTCATTATTTACTTTAATGAAATCAATTCAGGTTTTCATTGTTTTCTTTATTAATTGATTATATTGGTCAGTCACCGGAACTATATCTTTCCCAAGCATGATAAATATTTTTGAGCAATGTTCTAAAGCACGACACATTCTCTGACAATTCACATTTTCTCAAACACAATTGATTTCAGTATAAAAGGATAATTGGTCAGACATGACAAATTGACAGGAACTGTATTTTCCTCATCCAATGATATAAAATATCAAACAATGTTCTCAAGCATGGTATAAAATCTCAGACAATATTCTCAAGCATGGTATAAAATCTCAGGCAATGTTCTCAAGCATGGTATAAAATCTCAGGCAGTGTTCTCAAGCATGGTACAAAATCTCAGGCAATGTTCTCAAAAATGATGAAAAAAATCTTAAGGCAATGTTCTCAAGCATGGTATAAAATATCAGGCAGTGTTCTCAAGTATGGTACAAACTCTCAGGAAATATTCTCAAAAATGAAGAAAAAATTCTAAGGCAATATTCTCAACATGATGTACATTTGTATAATCTCAGGCAATGTTCACTTCTCAAGCATGATATGAATATGGTATAAACTGTCGGGCTAGTCGATGGACCGTAAGACTATAACAAAACAAAACCATGCGGTAATACGATGCTCTAAATGCAAACAGAAAAATGCGCATGCGTAGCGTCACCCAAGGAGATTAAACAGTTGTATACATTCCTATTTTCGTAAAACCAATATAAAATGGGTTGAGTACACATCGCGATTGTTGAAAAGTGTGCCTTTGTTGCGTTATTGATAGTACTACATGTAGGACAGGCAACCAGCCTATTCAAAATCAGGGCAAAATGTGAAAATAATCGAGTGAACATGCGTAGCGTCATCCCATAATGTTATCCCAAATATTTTCACCAAAATGCGTTAAGCAAATATAATTGGCAAAATTGGTTATACTTGACATCAAAATTAAAGAGCAAAGTCTTCTTTTCTCCTTCGGGCCTGTTCCCGTATTCAGCTTACAACATTACAACATTATTATCAGGATATTTGTATAAGTTAGTATTTCTTACATATACTTTGAACGAAGTGCTATAAAAGTTGTCTCCTAGCATTTTCAGTAACGGAGGTTACCACCAGACGTCGCAAATTCCGTACTTGCAATGGAAAAAAAATACTGACGTCACGTCCGAAAGGTGATCTCTCCGTAAAAATTATCTTCTAAAACGTCAACATATACAGCAACTTGATAGTCATTCACATATCTTTTACAAGAAATAAATCCCGTAAATCTACAATATCGGGATGGCAACAATCAATGCATCAGCGTACAAAATCATCTTCATCATAACAATTAAGTTTTATACATATAGTTCATAATCCGATCTAATTGTCCAAAACTTTGCAACTTTCTGACAAACTTAGCAAAATAAAACATTTAAAAACCACCAGAAAAAGTTAACTGGTGAATGTACAAGAGAAGTCTGAAGTATTTTGAAACGACTAAAATCATTGATGGCATTCAAGCGAGTTTGCCAATCGTTCCTTTCTTAATTAATAAAAGCTTATATTTTTAACGATTTATTTCGATTGAACCTTCTTTCGGAATGTACCCGATTAGAATGTTATACAAATAATTATGTAGATCATACTTATGTGAAATAAAACATATATTTTGAATTACACCATCGGTACTCTTGTACATTTGATGATACAAATGTACAGTTGTAATAAACGCAATAAAACTAATTACTAAATGGCACAATGTGGCATACGAGTGTTCAACGATTCTAAAGAAATAAGTTTACATAGATCTTCTCTTGCAGAAAGGGATGTTAAACTCAACATTCCTAAACAGATGTCAGATTTAGTACGTAAAGGAAAACATTGAATCAATTTAACACATAGATTTTGAAATCTTTTCTATACGACTCCAATCCGCACTGGAGAGAGGAATCTACATCTGTATAGTTGATATTCTCTCCTTTTAGTTTGGACCCGAGGAAACTAAATAGTGAACGTCTAAAATAAAATCGACATCGTGTATATTAGGACGACCTAATTTATACTTGTCAAGTGTATGGTACTATCGCTTCATTTACTTATTTCGAACCTAATAACCATTTACGTTTAGATCTTGAATGCATCATGTTCGATTTATTAAAAACAATTATATATGTTTTGAAAGCATTATATATAAACCTCCATATACAACTGTACATGAAACACATGTTCATTGAAGTGTAATTTATTTACAATCAATTTTAGGTATACAGATTACCTCCAATAGTATGCGTAAAACGCACTACGTATACCGTTTTTCAATTAATCGACAATCTGTCCCTCTGTCATGACGAACCGATTAGTCGGCACGACTGTCTGTATAAATGATCAAAGAAAATAGTAAAACTAACCTCTACCCTAAAATACATGGTGAATTTGGTCCAACCTACACAATGTATACACACTGGGTCAGGTCAGCTGCTGTACCTGAGGGGAAACGGATTTTGTTACGTGCACAAAACTGGTAGCATTCCTAACTTCAAAGAAATGTTGCAAAGATTTAACGTTCGGAGTTTGGATACGATCAATCCGGAATGGCTGTAAACTCAAAATATCAATCAGTATATATAGATAGTTCTTCTACAATTGCGAACTAACATTTTTGCACCCTTGTTATAAATTCCAACATATAACACTATTTTACACACTTGATTGTCGTAGAAAGTCTGTAGTCGGGACTGGTCCATGTTACTGTATAGACCGTCCGTACATCATTTTCGTTGTTTGAGATTCCATTTTACCATTTTCACACCGTTTCTGGTTGGTTCATGATTCTTGATAGAGCGTCTGAGCCTCACTTTCTGTTTACAACAGAGGAATACAAAGGAGAATAAAATGCGATATATATGAATTGAATGTTATCACAACGAATGAGCAAAATATTTTAAGTTTCCAGTTTAGGTTTGTTATATACTTTTGTCCCTAAGAAAATAGTTATCACATCCAACATATCAAACGTTTTAAGACAGGTACGCATCCACCTTTGGTTTGCAACCAGTCACGTTGTTGTCATTTAATGGCATCAAATACCTGCTTAAAAATGACAACAGTGTTCTGAGTGTGATTATATAGAATAGATTGAGATTCAAACCCTTCACTTAGGATTGTTATACTATCGTTTTAATCGAAAAATCTACCTGGTCAATGGAAACGACCTTGCCGAAATGTGCTACAGTTGTATCCAAACGATATTTGATTTATGTTTTAAACTGAAAACGGATATGCTGAACCTGAAGATCGCTACAATATGCAAAAGACCATTATATGATGCCATCAAGTAATACCGGTTAATTCTGTACAGCGTCCCATACAGACAGTTACAGTATATTGTTCACACCTTGTATATAATAAATAAGGTCCATTTAACATAACAGCACACGACCTTACCCGATAGCATCCAACGACCTGCCAATATCTGCTGCTTTTCGTCTAGTTTTGCTCTGGCTTTCTTATCTGATTTAATAATAAGAATACGCGTACGTCAAAATTCTGCTATGTATTTTCTAATATGTGTCGAACTCTAAGCAATCGTGTAATTCAAAACGAGTTTTCCATTTCGAAGTTCAACAGAGAAAAACATAACTCATTATGTTAACACAGAAAAATATCAATGAAAGTCAACCATGAATCGAAAAGACAATAAAAAAGAAGAAAACACAGATTTACGCAAGTTGTACTGACGATGTTAAAAGTCTCGCTCATCACCCAACATGCACAGCATTAATCGAAATTCTACCGTTCTAGAATAAACGTTTTCCTTGTCCCTACATAATATTAATGTTTAAAATACCTTTAACCTTCTGCTCTCTAGCCTTGTTGCTTGTTAAACATGACCTGATAATGTAAACCGGCCAGAATAGCAAATTAAAAGGCACAGGGATTCTGGTTCGGAATTCCATGATCACCTGACTTCTATGGAATCGCCAAAAGTGGTCCGAGTTATTCTTTATTTCTTCGAATCGGAAGCTGTTAAAAAACGTAAATAAACCATGAAACATCATATAAATGTATAAACATATAAAATGTCAGACAAATAATGGTAACGGTCCTTCTACATTTGGCCATATTGTTTTGCTAAATGATTTCCCTGTAAGTATCTTTCGCTTGATAGTCTTTGACAACCGACCCTTCTATACAGACCTCTGATGACGATCAGAAGACAACAATTCTGAAACAACGTTTAGATTTCATGTATAATTTGATCACATCCAGAGACTTGGAAATGGAGGTTTGCACTGACCATTGCAGATTCGAACCTTCGTCATTCTGTAATTCTAGATTGAATCCTAGATGAGTAGAAATCGTGCGAAAGCATCGTGGGCATTTCTGATCGGATTTGCTAATCGGACTTCCGAGATATGTGAATCATTTTTACTTTTTACTAAATAAAGTGGGTTCCTCGTTATAATGATATTTCAAGGCCGAACTGGTATGCTTAGGCTTTCACTGTGTTGATGTTAAGATCGCAGGTAGACGATGCAAAAAAAGCTTGACAGATGTGTAAATTTGGTCGCACAGCAGAAAGTAAATCCCAGACATGAAAAAACATTTACACGTAAAATAACCTTCGACCGAATTCACAAAATCGTTTGTCAGACAATCTTAAAGCAGTTTGTTTGAAGACGACATTTCTACTAAAAGGAAATCTATGGTAGATAAAGTAAATAGGACAATAATTGCTACACCTGTACGACGTCCTTTCAATAACACAAATATGCATATGGTTATTATTTTAAAAGTCCAAACTGATCCAATCTTTCACAACAATCTCTTACATACCAAATATCATGTATTTTTAGCATATTTTAAAATATTGTATGGAGAAATAATGGTTTGTTGAAGCAGGAAAATACATTTTCCCAGTTTGATTGATAATGCAGAGTAGTTTTAATAAACATGGATATGTTGTTATAAGGAATTGAACTGGAATGAATTAAGTCATCTTAACCAACAAATACAATGTAATTTGTCAATGTTATTTTTACATTACATCAACCAATCAGAGAGTAGGTTTAGTGTAAAAATCAAAATCGAAGAGCATCGTGAATTGTGACGTCACAATATCACTGCAAGTTTTCTTATTTTGACGTTGCATTCCTGTAACACATGTCTTTACATTTTTGACGGGAAATTGACTTTCTGTTCACGGAAACCCATAACTTTGTGAAGATAAAAGTTAGAAACAGAATATTCCTGCAAGTAATGTTTCACCAGTAGGTTGAAAGTTTGTCATTTCCCTTTCACTCGTGCTTAAAATCATCCCTACATGAAAGTAATTATTAGTAAGTTACTTTTTTTGCAAAATGAAAAGTTAACAAGTAATTGGTACGATATTCCGAATGACAACATGTTAACTGTCTTTATGACTGTGTGTGTACTTGACAACCATACACATGTAATATAGACTAACGAAACATCCATAAAATACTCACCTGAACATAGCGATGATAAGGTTCACCAATAACAGGTTCAGTGTCAAGACGAAGACTCCAGACATAAGGGAGACCATCCAGTCTTTTTCAGGGCACCTCACGATATCGGGGTCATTCATGTAGACGGTTTCATTGCGGCTGCAGGTGTCAGTAGAGTCTTCTCCTGATTTTGAAAGATGAGATTGTATTAAAGGGATTAAAAAACAAATCCGCTTATGTCTTGAATTAATTTAAAACAATAATGGAGTAAATTAAAGAATGGGGAAAGTCGAATTATGGCCTACTGGCATGGCCATTGAGTCCGACGACGATTTGTTTAAGATAACCAATCTGCACTTTAACGAAAAAAATAAATTAAATGACTGTGAAAAGACGATTCCCATTAGAAACATACATGTTACTATCATGAAACCCCTGTAAATTTCATTAAAGAAGATCTCATTTACAACTTTACCTAGCTGTGAGGAAATTTTATAAAATAAGTAAAGCTAAAAATGAATAAAACATCTCAATGAACATGTAATATCATTAAATAATGATTATCTAGACAAAACTTGCTTAACATCGCTGTTAGATGTCTTGAAATAGTAGTACGGAATTATATCGTCAAAAGCCTTTCATTGCATGCTAAGAATCTTGAAGAACGAATAATTTGTATGCTTTTGAAAAGTTTGACAGTAATAATGATACTACTTCCTATTTTTCACACTATAACATTACTTGTTTTAAGACTGTATCAAGTGCGAAGAATATTTTTGATATTTTTTGCATTTGTTTGTGGCTAATTTGAACTGAACAGGTAATGTATGCAGTTTCAATGTTATATCCAATGTCAAAGATATTTAGATGTTTGATTGCTTATCAACTAGTTTTTGACTTCGTAATATTGACCGACAGTACGATCGTTAAATAACAGGATCTAATAATCGTTACGATGCAATGTGAACGATCAGCAATGCGCAAACGTTTCGCTTAAATTTGAACCTATTTTTATAGTATTGTATAGTACAGTACCATCGCTGTATTTGAAAAACACACTAATTCTGTGGTGTTACCGTTATTGTATTATCATTATACACTAATTCTGTGGTATTACCTTGACTGTATTTCCATTTTGCAACATTTCTGTGGTGTTACCGTTACTGTATTTACATTATACTGTTACCGTTACTGTATTTACATTTAGCTATAAGTCAGTGGTGTTACCGTTACTGTGTTTAAAGAATATACTAATATTGTGCTGTTACCGTGACTGTATTTACATTAAACTATAAGTCAGTGCTGTTACCGTTACTGTATTTAAAGAATATACTAATATTGTGGTGTAAACGCTACTTTATTTACACCTTACAATAATTCTGTGTCTTACCGAAGCTGTATTTACATTTTACAACATTTCTGTGGTGTTACCGTTACTGTATTTACACCATACAATAATTATGTGTTATCACCGTCGCTGTATTTACATTAAACCATTATTTCTGTTGTGTTATCGATACTGTATTTACGTTATTAACTAATTCTGTGGTATAACCGTTACTGTATTTACTTTATTCTGTATTTGCACCATAAAATAAATCTGTGGTTTTACCGTCGCGGTATTTACACCATACACTAATTCTGTGTTATTACCGTTACTGTATTTACACCATACAATAATTCTGTGGTATTACCGTCGCTGTATTTTTACACCATACACTAATTCTGTGGTATTACCGTTACTGTATTTATATTATACAATATTTCAGTTGTTTAATCGATACTCTATTAACGTTATACAAAATTCTGTGGTGTTTTCTTTACTTATCAACATTATACAATAATTCTGTAGTGTTTTTAAATGAATTTTCACGGGGCTCTATGAAAGTTGAAATTCGATGGTTTAAAGTCAGTATTTCCATTCCATCCATTGGTTTTACTGAAATTTATCTACTAGTGTTTGTGCACTCACCGTCGATTTCATCTTTGAACTCGCCATAAATTGACCAGTAAGGATAATAGATGATTTGCCAGACACTCCAATATCTCATGCCATGAGGTGAGAACATGTCGTAGTGGTTTGGATAGATATTGGCGTGGTAGAATACTCCAGCACTCAAGATAAATACCGCCATGATGACTACAAATCGCATCAACTCTTTGAGCTGAAAGAAAGAAATTGGGTAATACACATTGATTGATTTTTGTCACTTATATAACGACAAAAAAACCCAGCAAATCAAATTAAACACTTTTCATACATATATAATTGAGGCATGAACAGTTTCATTTGAGAGAATATGAAATAGTTTATTTACATTGAATATATGTAAATTATAATAATATTTACATTAGAGGTATCTTTATACATATATATAACGGAGGAAACATACTCCCTCTTTCAACATGATGACAGTGGGGCCAATCCTCCTCCAAATCAGTAAAACATGGAGATACCTCATGAACATGAGAAATAAACCAACGCTGTAAAATCGTCTGGATATATCGAAACTTGTTGTTTCGTAACCAAATCGGACAATTATCCCGATGATAAGCAATAAGTAAGACAAAGCGTCCATTCCATTCCAGAAGTTGTGCATGTGGTTCCAAGCTCTTCGTCTCCATTGCTTCGAATTCAAATATTGCTAAGAAAAACATACAAAAGATGAGAATATCAATACGTGTATGCATTTCAAAAATGCACAGTCGTCTATAGTGCTATCCTTATGAAAACAATGTAGCTAAACTTGGATAATTCATCAGAGTGGCAGATACTATTTAAATGATCAATTATATCAGCAGTAGTCGATATAACCTAAGATTTTAAACAGATGTATCATTGAAATATTCACATATTGCAAAGAGTGAAAAACTATTCTCATTCTGGAATTGCAATGTTCAGTGAAAATTGATTCTGTTCCGAATGATCAGAGTTATTTTGTTCTGAAGAATTACCTCCTTAAATAGAAAGATCTTACCCGGATCGTGTAGAAGGCTGGCGGTACATACTCCTCAATGATGTCAGCGAACAGCCACAGGTTTGCGCAGTACTCATAGATTGACTTCCTGTCAATTGGCCATTTTTCTGTTGTGATGTTGGTCATGATAAAAGCGCTTAAGCAGACCAGGAACAAGCAGAAGATGCTCTAAAACCAGCATCATATCAATAAGTCAGTATAACCAGCATCATAGCAATAAGTCAGTATAACCAGCATCATAGCAATAAGTCGGTATAACCAGCATCATAGCAATAAGTCAGTATAACTAGCATCATAGCAATAAGTTAGTATAAACAGCATCATAGCAATAAGTCAGTATAACTAGCATCATAGCAATAAGTCAGTATAAACAGCATCATAGCAATTAGTCAGTATAACCAGCATCATAGCAATAAGTTAAGTCAACCAGACAGCATATAAGGTACCTGTAGCAGTTTATTTTAATATTTCATAATTTATCATTCCAATCTATTGAGTTCGATGGTTGAGTGACTGTCATATACATTCTAACGTAAACTGAAGTAACGGAAAATTCTGTGACGAAGATAATGCAAATAATTAAAATAACAGTTATTAAATAAATCATGTCAANTAAAATGTACTTACGTAATGAATAACGAACTTCCAAAAGGGAGAGGTGATCCGAGCAGTCAAAGGTATTATGAAATTCTTGACACTGAGGCTTGAAACTGTTTTCTGAGAAACAAGTTGATTTTGATTTAAAATACACGAATAGTTTCATCTATATTGATGATTTAAAGATGTAATTGATAGCTTTTCCCGAATGAAGAAATGTCTGAGATAGTATATTGATTATGAACGATTGACTGCTGTTCATATGTTCATTGCAGTCGAATGTTACAATCGAAATATGTTCATTTCTATTCATAAAAACACAGGTGGTAAATCGTTTTATCGTCTCAAACATATTTGCATTATGAACGACTCACCTTGGTTTCATACAAATCGTTGTCGTGAAAGAATCCCGCGCCTTTCCAAATCCTGTCGAAACTTCTTTGAGGGACGTGATGTGAAACAAACTGAGAGATATTGTGTGCTTGGGAAAATTCTAGACAGCTTTCTTTAATACCCCAAACAGACGTAGAATTTTCTACTTCCAGGACAAAAATGGCTTCCATTTCATTATTTTCGAAGAGGCTTTGAGTCACATCAATGGCTCTCTGGCGAAACACACTGTTAATAAGCAATACTACAAAATACTGCAAAATGTCTGACATGCACATTAGTTTTCTGATCAACTTGGCCCTATGTTCTAGGTAAAAAGATTATGAGCATATTAATTCAATATGATTTATCGGGATTTGTATGTAGTCGATTTTTTTGTCAATCCACCAATCCCTAATTTGGGTTTCATACTGTCCTGAGCATGGTCTTCAATCCACCAACCACTAATATAGCTTTCCCATTATGCAGATACTATTCACTAACTAGCTGACCCATTTTCCAGAGCATTATAATGCAATGTGTTTTGTCAAGATTCATTTACCGTCAGTCAGCCAATGGACAGATCAGGATTTTTTTTCTAAACAATTTGTACAAGTAATTGAAGTTTTGACAACGGTTACTTTAAAGTATTACTTTACCGGGAATGCATCAGCATTGTTTTCTTGAAATCAGTTTCCTTTTTCGAATGAGCTCGCCTTGACATCTTATGTAGTATAGCACTCGCAACGAGAGCAGTAACTGAAATAATAAATCAATGGCATTGCATTACAAAGGGTTATTAAAGGCTTTTATTAATGGATAGAAGTAATATAAAATAACATGTATAAATGGAAAAGGCACATTGAATTAGGAACCACTTAGTAGTTCTACGTAAAAAGATTGAGAGCCTGTTACAAAAACATTGTGTGTTTATATCTTCCCAGCAGCATTGTTATGAACGTGGAGAATGAATACAAACGAGTGTTCTTAATGGCAATAGATTTCGATCTTCTGGTAATTCCTCCACGAAATGGCTCTTCGGTTTTAATAGGTCAAGGGTGACCAACACATGTACTAACCACAGATAAAGTTGTTCCAATAAGTGCCTAGCGCATACATATCAAATCAAAACTGTGAACTGTGGTCTCTTTTATTAGACGGGCTGCATAGTTTTCTTTACCCGAGAATCTGTCAATCTGTCAATCCGCTGTTGGATGGTCAATTTGCACAAACGTTTTTGAAATTTGTTTTGTTCTCTTTGTTAGATATTGTGCCATACTTTTATCGAATATGAGTTTGAATAGCAGTTATGTTGACACTGCGGTATTTTTGTTTTGCTTCATTAATATTCTGATATATTTCTACATGTTGTACTTGTCTGTCTTTCTGTATGTTCTTACTGTGTATTCGACATGAACTGTATAGTCTTCTTCTTTTTTATATTTCTGCATATTACTTTTGTATATTTCAATATTTAGTACAAATACGTAAAACTCCTAACAAATAAGAATATGTTAAAATTTACGGATCGGCTCAGGAGAACGTTTCCAAAATATTTCTGCCATTTCCATTTGGTTTGTCAACACTGCCCACAAGAGTAAATCAGATGGCGTCATCCAATTATCCCCCTCAGGCTCCTTCTTCTCTCCCTTTGCTGAAATGAAATTATATTGAGATGATCAAAAGATTTAGTAAGCATTGCACCAATCGTATATAAGCTATTAAAATAAGATAAATGGCTTGCTATTTATTTGCATAATTCAACTATAGCGACATATAACGAAAGCAAATAAATTATGTACGTCAATCACTCACCAATTTTATAGGGAATAATGTCGCATCCAATCTCCCATGCATCTTCTCTTTTCTTTGGGAAGGCCTCGTCCCCTGGAAAAGCTGACAATTTAGTTGGGTTTAAAAACAGAAGCCCATAGTGCTTAATATTGATTTGCTGATGTTTTAGTGTCCGTGTAATTATAAGGTTCTTCAGTACAGCTGTTTAGGTGTGTTTGTATTTATTGTTGATATCTGTAGTCATGTGAACGTGTCTGGACATAGGTGGAGTACATAATGTGCTGGAATTAACATGAACATTCAGTATGTCTATACAAGTTATGGTCACGACAATCTTTTCCTCGTTATTTCATTAATAAAATTGCATATATGAAGTCACCTAGTATCTGTCAGATGAAGTTTTATTTTTCTGCCCAATCATATATATCGTTTAAATTCCAAATACACTTTTGTATACGTACCTTTATGATTTCTGCGATACATGACCGTGTCTGTAAAATAATGGAGATCTGTTTGAGAATGTATGTCACGCAAGTAATTATAAGTTAGCCGGATTTCAAAGCACATCAGCCAATAATTACGATGGATTTTATAGTATGTAAATATTCGTATCCAATTTAAACTTTGTTGTTTTTCCTAATCCTAAAGGATGGTTTCAGTCGTTAAGGAAATACTATTATGTATAATGGGTCCTGTAAATTGCTAGAATTTATCAGCGGTAAAGCTATACTATATCAGCGGTATAGCTACAATGTACAATATATCAGCGGTATAGCTACAGTATATCAGTGGTATAGCTACAATGTATCAGCAAAAAGCTACAATTTATAATCGGTATTGCTATAATAAATCAGCGGTATAGCAATAATTAATCAGCGGTATAGCTATAATTTATCAGCGGTATAGCTAAAATGTATCAGCGGTATAGCTAAACGGTATTACTACAATGTAAAATATATCAGCGGTATAGCTACAATATATCAGCGGTATAGCTACAATGTAAAATATATCAACAACGGTATAGCTACAATATATCAGCGGTTTAGTTAAAATATATCAGTGTGATAGCTACAATATATCAGCGGTATAGTTAAAATATAAAAACGGTATATCTACAATGTAAAATATATCCGGAGTAAAGCTACAATATGTAAGCGCCATAGCTACAATACATCAGCGGTAAAGCTAGAATATATCAGTGTCAGCGGTATAGCTACATCGTAATCAGCAGTATAGCTTAACTATATCAAAGGCAATAGCTACAATGTAATCAGTGATAAGAGCTACAATATATCAGTGATAAGAGCTACAATATCAGCAGTGTAGCTTCAAAATATCAGCAGTGTAGCTTCAATGTATCAGCAGTGTAGCTTCAATGTATCAGCAGTGAAGCTTCAATGTATCAGCGGTATAGCTACACTATATCAGCAGTGTAGCTTCAATGTATTAGCGGTATAGCTACAATATATCAAGGGTATAGCTACAATGCATGAGCAGTAAAGCTACAATATATCAGGGGTATAGCTACAATGTGTCAGCAGTGTAGCTTCAACGTATCAGCGGTATAGTTATAACATATCAGCGGTATAGCTTATATGTATCAGTGGCATAGCTATAATATATCAGCAGTGTAGCTTTAATGTATGCGCGGTATAGCTACATTGTATCAGCAGTGCAGCTTCAATGTATCAGCAGTGTAGCTTCAATGAATCAGCGGTATAGCTACAATATATCAGCAGTGTAGCTTCAATGTATGAGCGGTATAGCTACATTGTATCAGCGGTATTGCTATAATATATAAGGGGTATAGCTTTAATGTATCAGCAGTATAGCTATAATATATCAGCGGTATAGCTTTAAGGTATCAGCGGAAAGGCTACACTATATCAACGGTTTAGTAATAATGTGTTGGCGGAAAAGCTACAATATGTCGTCGGTATAGCTACAATATATCATCGGTATAGCTTTAAGGTATCAGCGGAAAGGCTACGCTATTTCAGCGATGTAGTAATAATGTGTTGACGCAAAAGCTACAATATGTCGTCGGTATAGCTACAACATATCAGCGGTATAGCTAAAATATATCAGCGGTATATCTACAATATATCAGCGGTTTAGCTATAATATATCAGCAGTGTAGCTGCAATGTATGAGCGGTATATCTACAATATATCAGCGGTTTAGCTATAATATATCAGCGGTATAGCTATACTATATCGGCGGTATAGCTACAATATATCATCGGTATAGCTTTAAGGTATCAGCGGAAAAGCTGCACTATATCAACGGTTTAGTAATAATGTGTTGGCGGAAAAGATACAATATGTCAGCGTTTAGCTACAATGTACAATGTATCAGCGGTATAGCTACAATATATCAGCGGTATAGCTATATTCTATCAGCGATATAGCTACAATATATAAGCGGTATAGCTACAATGTATCAGGGGTGAAGCTACAATATGTCAGCGGTATAGCCACACTGTATACGCGGTAAAGTAACAATGTATAAGCGGTATATCTAAACACTATCTGCTGTATAGCTACAATATATCAGCGGTATAGCTATACATTATCTGCGGTAAAGCTACAATTAGCTTTAGTGCGATAATTTAAAAGTGGTATATATACAATGTATGAGCGGTTTTGCTAAAATGTATAAGCGGTCAAGCTGCAATATACCAGAGGGCCATCTATAGCTACAATGTGTAACCGGCATAGCTACAATGTATCATCTGAAGTGTTCAATACATATAATTGAAGCTGTATAGCTAAAATGTATGAGCATTGTACTTGTAGCTACGACGTATTATCGGTTGCGCTACGATGTTGAGTCATGTACAATGATGTTTTGAATGCTCGTCGTTCCCATTAGTGAACGTGAACAAGAAGAAAACCTGATTCCTGTAAACCTTTGTCTTATCATAAATGAATTAGAGATAGTATTTTACCTGGTTTTTCTCCTTTCTTTCGTCGTATAGCTGCAAAATAGGAAAATACATAATGTAAATAATGTTTGAAATAAAATACTGGTACTAAGATACTGAAAAGCACTTAATTATTGTACATCTATCATGCAAGTTGAGCGCATGCTTTTTACTCAAATGTATCAAAAGGATGAAGTTCACAGGAGGAATAATCAAAAATACTTTTCCAAAAATCACCAGCGGTTTCTAGTATGTGCATTAAAAAAAGTATCTGATGATTTTGTTTGTGTCAAAAATAAATAGTATTTACACATTTGAGCTATATATTTAAATAAGTCTAAATTATTTTTTTAATATTCCTAAAAAACACAGGATAGAGAATTATTCCCCTGTGTTTCGATGGACTATCACTATTCTATTGGGGACTCGCCGTACACCAGTTCTTAATATACTGAATCATCGCAAGTGTTATTAAAGACATGTTATTTACCTGGTCCTCAATTCACAGTTAGATATATAAATTTAATTTATATATCCTTATATATCCTTTATATATATACGGAACAGGGATTAGGAGACAAAGTGTGTAGTACATTAACAAGTATGCCTATCAGTATTTCAATATTTTGTGTTTTTATCATAATATATAATCACATACTACTGTGTGTGTCACCCGGACGATATATCTTACCTGTTGATATAAATCTTTGGCTTGTGAAAATTCTAGTGTCACTCCTTTGTCTACCAGGACTTCAGTGATATCGTACAGGTTCTCCTTTAGAGCGTATAGTAGAAGATCTCGGCCAAACTTAAAACAACGATAAAGTTGTATCAGTTACACGTACGTTATATACATGTATACATACATGTATGAGGGAGGAACACGTTTCATATGTAACAAAGTGTTAGAAGCCATGCTATATCCCTGTGCTGCAAGATGTGCAAGTTGTTCTCACCACGGATACACAATATCGTAAAATAGCCTTCACCAGGGATATTTATTCCATTAAGTCACCTGTTACTATTCAAATGTCACTGGCGAGTAGCGACGTTTTTGGATTTGACATAGTTCACATGAAGTGTGGTTCAGGTCACGGTGTAGTTTTTTCATTCGGATATACTCAAATATTGTATCTACTTACCGCACCGTCGCCAATGCAAGTAGTTTGGTTAGTTTGGAGCATCTGGTACAACATGTACAGTGCTATTGGTGACGGTTTTAACTCTTTCTGTTTGTGATCCTCTTCGGTTTGACTAGAAGGGCGGACAGCCTGCTCAGATATTGGCACAATCCTACTAGTCCGCCATGTCATCTTGTTGGGTGCGGTTATATACACTGCTGGCGGCGGAACATCTAAAATAATATCAAATATTTTTAAGAAAAGGTGTATTTAACTGCAACAGATCACTCAACAATCACTCTAAATTGTATATCAATTAATTTCAACTGTCTAAGTCATGTATCTTGTAATCATTTTAATGAAATATCTTCAAGATACATGTAATTGCGATTACCATAACTGACAGTACATAAGTTTCATTGTTTTACATCTCGAAATAAAATTGCAAAGATTTAAGACTCATCATCACCATTGGTCACGGCTATAGGGTTTATGTCAGGCCGGTTATCGTCGAAAACTGCTGCCATAGCCCCTCCTTCAACATGAGACATTGCCCATGTTCTAATAATACTCTCTGTCACTTTGTCTTTCAAAGACGTTGTACTTTCAGTATGTATGTTAAACTCAGAAACCTAAAATGCGAGGAAAGGGATAGGGTATCAATAGTTCAAAACCAAACTGAAATATCCGGACTCTAAAAATCAAAATAGGAAACACACATCAATGAATGTTTTTAAGACAACCCAAACAACTGTTTTTCATAATAGCTGATAATGTTAGATTAAGAAAATTCATTGAAACCTTAACAACGATTCGTAAAAACATATTTCTCATAATAAGTTATGCCGTACTTTAAGATTTTAACTTCCTGACAAATTGCGTGTATATCCAAATTTTGTTATTGTTGGCCAATGCCCTGTATTTATTAAAAAGTAATTGATGATGTTATATAAACGTAAAAATTTCCAATACGGTGAAGAAATGTCATAGCTCAACATGTAATGAAAGCAAATGTAAATGCCACGATACTCTGATCTTTTGATCATGGCCTGCTGCGTCTTCGTTACGGACGCAATATAAACACAAATTTGTAATATATTTTCATATAATCAATCTTTAGCCTGTTTATGTCAAAACCAGAATATGCAGTTTAATTTACCTTGCTTCTATTGTTTTTGATGGTCTCTATATCATTTTCTAACGATTTGAAGTTTTCCTTGGTGAAACAAATCCCGAACAGCAACGGTGCACGGGTCTTCAGAGCGACATCATCTCTACAAATCAATCAAATATTTCTTAGTTTTGTTAGTGTTTTAAAAACCATTTCTCATCAATTAAGCTAAAAAAGCATATACCAGGATACGGAGTAGTTCCCCGATTCGATGGAGTTAACTCAGCTCATACCGATATGAGTTGAACGTTTCCTACTCTTTGAGGATTTGTTTGGAATATATAAGGTTAAAGCTTGTGTCCAACACTCTTTTAAGAAAGATCTCTATTGAAATGTTTAGAAATTGTCTTGACCTGTGTACCCAACCTTTCCGCAGACCTAGCATCAAAACTGAGCTTTAATTAAGAATTGCAATTGAGCGACATGGCATTTATAAAAACTTCATTAACGTTAGTTTCCAACCTCGTTTATTTTATTATTGTTACAATTACAACTTAAAATTACAACAATACATGTGTTACAGATATAGCAAAATCTTACTCCAAACAGGATCCAATCAGATCCGCAGCCATTCCAGATCCCCGCACCAACAGTACTGGAATGTTTATCTCTACAGCTCTGGCCACGTGGTTAATTGTGTCAAGGTCACCCTCAACCACCACAACAATGGTTGGTTATTTCATTTCTAATCTGGAAATTTGAACAGTTATAATTACGTAGAATGGTATTTTATTACTGGCAATAGACAAAACTATTTGATTTCTATGTTATATATTACTCTCAACTTTTCAACATAGTTGTAAACGTTGCAGGTCAAACGGTGATAGTAAGACTAAACATACCAAACACAAATTACCGTAAGTCTGGTCGTTTACCACCTCTGCTTAGAGGAAAATAGCGTACACTGAGTAAACAACATCTATTGCACCCGTTTAATAACCTTTATCTCCTTTTTTTCAGTCACTTCCTGAGCACCTCTGATAAGTCTGTTATCTTTATAAATGGATCATGTGACAAGTGTTTGTAAACATCGAGGAATGTTGTCCGGTATTTAGTGTTCACACATCGTGTACACGTGTTATAATGTACGTGACAAGTGACTGTGGGATAGTATATTACCTTAAGCCTTATATAATATTTCAGTATGGTTGTATACAAGAACTATTTTCTTCAATCTGATTCATCATCTTGGAAATATGTAGTATCACATTTTTACATTATACTCAAACAATGTTCGTATTTAACGTGTCGCATCGTTTAAAGTCCAACTGGTCCCTTTGTCAAGCTATGGCTGAGTGAGCAATTTGTATTGTTTGCATGTACAACGAATACCAACCCATACGAAAAAGGATTATCTGAAAGAAATTACAAAAATGCGATTATCTTTCCATAACTTAACTGAAGAAAAAGGGCGATATCAAAATACTGAACGGAATTGTCGAGTGAGTAATTTTTGTAATTTAGATGATGTTGAAGATGAGTTTCATTTTATTCTTAAATGCTAATGTTATTCTGATTTGCGAGCAAAATATTTGAAACTAATAACATTAAACAACCAAGCATGGTAAAATTGAAAGGACTACTACTGAGTGTGAAAAATACAAAAGAAACTTAGGGAAATCTATAAAATTTGCAAATTCGAGAAGAACCCCAATTATTATAAATAGATCAATTGCACTCTCCAAACATATGGTACCGTGTCTATTTGTAATTGTGTTGTGAGTGTGTGTAATGTTATGTAATGTTTTTTTGTGGTATTTTGCACGGTAAATATGACACTTTTGTTATTTGTAACTGACGAGTCGAAAGAATCAAAGTAACAAGGCAGAGAATTGCAACGCAACCCATAGTTCTCCATCGGTAATGATTTCTATATTTAACAAACAGTTTAATAATGTCAGGAAGCGTAGGTCACAGTGAGGATAAAGTGACCTACTTCTTGCACTCTGCCACACCAAGATGTTTTTGTACACCAAACCTGGTTACTCCAGATGAAAGAGTGTAGAAGATATGTCCCAGACAAATTTTTCAAAAATAAAGGTCAATACTGAGTTCAAAAACGATCATATTTTGGGAATTTCTTGATGAAATAACCTATTGACTCTATAATGACAGAGAGCAGAGCCCGATCGAGAGAAAACCTCAAATAAAAGTACAAAACAGGGGAATAATTTACAATATAATCTCGGAATCGCTACTTACCTCACAAGTCATATTCCGATAGTTATTCACACGTGGAGGCAATATATCTAAATGTTTCTGCTGTTCTCTGGGCAGTTGTTTTATATTTGATTATCAAACAAAACTACAGTAACATATTATCTGATGATAAGGGGCTAAATTTATTTCGGTCTGTCTAGCCTCCCTTGATCAACAGATAATATTGTTCCGTGATATACAACCCCACATATTGCAGTTTTAACCACAATTTCCAATATTGTGATATAAACAAAGATGTTCATACTTACTGAATTGTTTTCCTGAATTTTTATTCAATTTCAGTGGCGTAATCATAATTGCAGACAATTTTTCCTCTAAGAAGAGCATTGTTTCAAAAACATTGTTCAACTGTTTCTTTTCTTTGTCATTAAGCAATTGTTTTAAATGGTCAGGAATCTTCGTCAGTACCTCTGGCCCTTCTTACTTATCCTGAAGAGCAAAATCAATAGCTGATAATTTTATTTTCATATCGAGGAAGAAAAATGAAATTTTGAAATATTAATAATCCTATTTGAAAAAAGGTAGAAACAAATATATGCTCATATGTCGCTTTCGTGAGTTGTCACTGCATTTATCATAAGAAATGCTGTGTATGGTCAGATGTTAGATACAGGTACTGGTCCTTTGGTGTGAAATACAAAACCGTAACAAATAAAACATGTTTATGTTCATAATCTAACATTGCAATTTTACAATCACGAATACACTTTTTTCAATTATATTAGCATTATTCTTAACGTTTCTTTCATGATATATAACTGTGTAGGTAAACTATTGGGTATATTTGTATTTATAATATAAACCTTTAAGCATGTAAACTTGTAAACAAATACATAGTGATGTTTTGGTGCGTTGGTTACGTTAATAACACCTGGTGTGTGTGATTGTCGTTATCATCAGATGTTCTTTCTTACATACCCTCGTCAGTTTGTAACACATGGTATGTGTGATTGTCGTTATCATCAGATGGTGTTTCTTACATACCGTCGTCAGTTTGTAACACCTGGTGTGTGTGATTGCCGTTATCATCAGATGTTGTTTCTTACATACCTCCGTCAGTTTGTAACACCTGGTGTGTGTGATTGTCGTTATCATCAGATGTTGTTTCTTACATACCCTCGGTAGTTTGTAACACCTGGTGTGTGTGATTGTCGTTATCTTCAGATGTTGTTTCTTACATACCCTCGTCAGTTTGTAACACCTGGTAGGTGTGATTGTTGTTATCATCAGATGTTGTTTCTTACATACCCTCGGTAGTTTGTAACACCTGGTGTGTGTGATTGTCGTTATCTTCAGATGTTGTTTCTTACATACCCTCGTCAGTTTGTAACACCTGGTTTGTGTGATTGTCGTTATCATCTGATGTTGTTTCTTACATACCCTCGTCAGTTTGTACCTTTATGAAGGGATACTAACCGCTGATCTGTTTAAAACATGATCTGACAGTGTTATTGTGCGATCTTTATATATGAATTTGAGTTATGTGTGCCACATTTATTCGAGATGTTTGAAATTAATTGCAATACAGTTGCCTCAAATTACATTTTAATCAGTCAAATCGACGGAACGAGTCATAAAATATTATCAGATTATATCAGCGGTCGAGTGTTGCATTAACAAAGCATAGATACGACATCAAAGATCGACTTTCGCGTCCAAGTAATTTCAGCTTATCGATAAAAAAATCATAAAGTATAATATTAGTGTATTTCCCTTACACATGACTAATCTATGTGTCCAGATGAATAACCTTATTTTACACACCGACTTTTCCGTAATTCCCATCAAGCAGAACGTGTTTGTGTCGTCTTCAGACTTGACTGTGTCCTGATTCTCGCTCGATTTCAGCATTTCCCTACACTCCTCTCTGGCGTCCATGGTGAGGTTGGTGACCGTCAACCACCTTCGGTCTTTCGTTTTGGTTTCAGGGTTTGACGTTTCTATGCATTCCGTACACTCCTTCCAGGCGTCCATGGCCAGCTTGGTGACCGTGAACAGCCTTTGGTCTTTCGTTTTAGATTATCTTCATTTTCAGGGTTTGATGGTTCTATGCATTCACAGAAAACCCATGGATCTAAGAGGAATTAAAAAGACATTTTCAAAACATCAAAAAGCTTGGTACTGCAAAACGGAAAGAAATGCCGAAATAGAAATCTTGATGAGCTTCCAAGAGATAGAATGAGACAACTCCATCGATAACCCATCTGTTATTGTTCGCTAAGCGAGACTTCTGGTGTCATGAACATTCCTTCTACATCATGTTTCGTGTCAATGTCGCGGGCATAATTTTAATGATTTTATTTGAAAGAACCTTAGAAAATACTTAAAAAAATGATGCGGGCCTCATAAGAATGACTTTTATGCCACTCAGGCACATTTGAGATAATTTTGGAAGCTTGTCTGGATATTACTAACGCTATAAGACTGTGTCAAGCTGGAATCTTTCTACAAATAATGACTTGTGTTTGATTTTCTAAGATATAGTCACAATGACAGAGGTGACCTTGATATACTATATATTTGTATAACAGTGTTGACAACTTGTAGGGTATTCAATGGCTGGCATGTCGACTTTGTTTTGTAAATTGTTGGATTATGCAGCAACACTGATCGATCAATGATTAACTGCATAACTCTCAAAATGCGTGTATTGTTTGATATGAAAAGTATGACGTCAATTCAGCTTTACAGATTTACAAGAGGAAAATTTCAGTAAACTTATTTTTGATAGAAATAAAAAATGTATACATTTTACCTCAAGTAAACAAACAAAAAAAAGCTTTAAAGAGTATTTTCGCCAGAAGTCTATATATATTGAGAAACTACGTAAAATAATCATTGTTAACATAGATAATGTTGATACTGATATACAGTAAATAAGTTCATATATTTGATAGTATATGTTTCGTTGATAGCTTTTGTCTACTGTTTCTTCATCAACAAAAGCATAACACAATATTGCACTCATCATATAATTAAATCTAAAAGAAAACCAAACATAAAGTGCATGTAGGCGCGTTATGTAGAACATATCGGTGTTAAAAGATTTGGTTCTTTTTATTTGATACACATTTGAGTCTTGTGACCTTGAATGAAGGTCACGGTATGCATACATAAATATGTAGCTATTAACACATTCAATATCCATAATCATTTTTGTACAGCTGTATATCCCACACTATATGTTTATATATATATATATTACAAAAGCAGAAAAAATATCCTTACGGACGAAGAAATAATATAAAAAGAAAAATTCTCAACAACGAGTCTTTAGTATTTTCATTTCTTCTAGGAGATTCTTCAGACCATTATAAAAGTCGGAAGAATATCATAGAAGAGATGAAAGTACTAAAGACTCGTTGTTCAGAATTTTTCTTTATATATATATATATATATATGTGGTGTTAGTAACTGTACGTAATTCTTCTTTCGATGAGACTACATAGCCTATAGGGCACCTGTCTATAAATATAAAGCTGTCTTTGTATATTTGGGCGAGGTTAGGTATATACCAGTATGGCATCATTTTGTTGACACTGATCTTTCGGATCTTCACCCAAAAGGGCCTGCAGTTTAAGATACTGTCTGTGTTGTTTTATTTATACTTTATCGCTTTCCATTCAATGTCACCAAAATATGCAAAAAAAACAGCTGTTTGTTTTCGCTTAAACCAACGCGACACCGGCCGCTTTTATTGTCAAACAGTCAAAACAATGTATAAAATAATCAATAACTTTTCACTAGTTCAATTTATATTTTTTTGACAAAGGCACTAGCAAATATATTTTTACTTATGTTCTGTACGTGCGTACAAGCCCGATGTGTATTTTGTACGTGCGTACATGCTCAATGTGTATTTAAGTTCAGTTCGAGGTGTCAGGAAAACCAGTTTCTGGGAATAGATATAGTTCATGCACGCGCGTTATAATTGGCTTATTTACATATACATTATTTTGTGTGTACGGGCCAATGATATCTAGCTGATGTCGGGCATGTCTAGGATGGGTTCTCATTATCCTCATTTGAATTCGAATTTTTCGGGTAGTCTCCAGACATCTTTTGGGTAGTCTCCAAACATCTCTAATTTTAATCTGATAAAACAGACAGAATGTAGTAGGGACTTCTGTTAACGATATTGAATTTAGTCTGTCAGATGATCTGAAGCGTACAGTAAAGTGGATCGTCCAGAACAAACTAAGTTTGAACCTGAATAAGACTCAATGCATGATGATTGGCTCAACCCAGAATCTATCAAGGGTAAGAAAACTTAAACTCGAGATCGATGGTTATGTCATTGAAACTGTATATAGTGTCAAACTCCTTGATGTTATTATTGATAAATGTTTGAGCTGGCAGAACCATATAGAATATGAATGTAAGAAAATATCCAAGAAGGTTGGTCTTTTTAAACGTGTAAGACTATTTATGTTCACCTGTATGGCCAAAAAAAGTGTTCGATGGCATTGTTTTACCACACTTTGTATATTGTTCTGTGATATGGTGTACTCCATCTAATATGGACTATTTAAACAAACTGTTTATGCTTCAAAAATGGGCAGCAAGACTAGTTCTGTAAGTTATAGACTTTTTTACCCCAACATCTGTACTTTTACAACCTTTAAGGTGACTCCCGTTGCAGAAATTTTACGATTTTAGGAAATGCTTATTTTTGTATAAGATTTTACATGAGCAAGCTGTACCTGTTCTAAATCAATTTGTTAGCTATGCTAACCAGGTTTCTGCCAGAACTACATGTTCTTTTAACAGCTAAAAACGTTATGTGAAAAAATGTAGAACAACTAATTATAAGAGATGTTTTAGTTACTCTGTTAGTATTTTAAGGCACAATTTAGAAAGCTCACTGCATAATTTACCTAGTATTGAGTCTTTTAAAAAGGCATACATGCAGAAGCTTTTATAGATGTGAGCATTTTATGGACCAATTTTTAAAGCCCACTCCATATTTTACCTAGTTTGTGTCTTTTAAGAAGGAATATCTGCAGATAATGTTTTAGATGTGACGAATAGTTTTATACTTTAACTTGTCAGGATCTGCATATGTGATATTGTTATTATTTATATTGTATATGTCATTGTATGTATCATGTCCATGTCCATTGTAAATTGCGTATTACAGGGCCATATTGTAAATTAGATGTAAATCTAATTATGTAACCCTGTCTAGATAAAAAATATTATTATTATTATTATTATTGATGTAAGATTATCATCAACGAAAGGAAAGATCTTATGATAATGCTTCAAAATATAGGAAGTAAATGAACATTACTATAACTGTTACTATTTTATAATTTCAATATAGGTTTTGAGGCAAGGTAAAATCTGTAAAATACTTCCAAAATCCTTGAGAGTGTCCACTAGAGCTTCTTTGAATTTCGATTTCGGCCATGGCTTTGGAACGAATCCAATCGAATCTCCAACCAGAAAGGCCGCAAGTGTGGGCTGTTGTGTTGACGCTCCACTCTCCTTCGCTACAATAAAGAAAAACGAACGTTTAAAGAATAAGATGATACATTTTACATTGTATAGCTGTTAAATATTATAATGTCTTAACTGGTCTGATATTATTTTCATTAGTAATTTAGTGTCATTTTCTATCACAAACGAAAGGACAGTACCAATGGTCCTGTCGCAATATTTTATGAGTAGGTACATTAGTCAACATTAACGTAATATTGACAAATATTGATGGTTGTGTAGCTATGCATAACTTACTGTAATATGTACCTCGCTAGTGTTATCTCCCTTATGATACATTGGTAAACATCACAACTATCATAAAATTTTCATTAAAATGTGACAAATTTACATACACCAGTGGTTAACATAAATGCCGGTACCGCTTTGGAGATAGTTTTACTCCATGTTTCACTTTGGACATAATGACGTTTTGTCTATGTAATCCGTGGTGGAGATTGTTAATAGATATTTGCAGTACAGGTGTCAATACGTTAAATGTCCTTGGTGACAACTATTATAATAATAAATCTATCTCAGAAATATGAAAAACCCTTTTTGAAAGAGGCTTTAGTAACTTATACTGAATACATTGAGAAACAGAAACTTAACTGACACTATCTTTGTGGTTTGAAACACAAGTCAAGGTAGATAACTCTCCAGTATTCTATCAAAGTGTTAATCAGATATGGTCTGTAATGTAAGAAAATTTCGTTATTCATAGGAAGATGTCTGCTGAACCGATGATTTCTCCCAACCATGCACACGATTTAATGGTTTGAGAAGCTCCTCTACACAAATATGGCCTGCTGACACACAACATATTCTAGAGATATGATATCGTTATTTCTGAAAGAACATTTAACACAAGATATATAAACAGAAGGAAACGGGGCTACAATGCAGATACATTGCTGAATTAAAAAAATACATAACAGTTTTTAAAACAACAACTGAGGTAACACTCATATTGTTTTAGTACTATTGTTTTAAATACCATGCACCACGAGCCATAATTCTTAGCGTATTAATACAACACCGACCGGAACTACAATATCCAATGTTAATAAACATGACGGCTGAAATATCGCTGGGCATTGTGAGACTTGACGATGTAATTGTAAATGTGCAAAAGAAAAAAGAGAATATAAAAAAACACCCTTTATTACAACAAAAAAAGACCAGATCTGCAATATTTTAAAAAATGCACATCGGTTGAAATCACCAATCTCGGCAATGGAAACAATTTTAACACATATATGCAATTTATCAGAAATATCGTCTGTTACACTGCACTGGTCAACAGGGGTTCGTTACAAATGTCTAAAATACATATATGCTATAGACCTACTGACACATATGCTATAGACCTACTGATATGAGTTCCAGCACACATAAACATCCACAAGGCATATGTGTATTTTAGACATTTGTAACGAACCCCTGTGCTCCGTCGCAAGGTCACTCACTTCAAACGCTATCAGTATCACGCGTCCAGCAGCCACGGTTTGCTAATTTAACTTCCAAAAATAACTACCTCGTGGAGGTCAAGGTCGGATTCACGGTTGTTCACTGTATTTATCCATGCGCGAAATTTGTTCCGAGGAAAATCGAAAACAATTTAAAATCTGCCTTTCAGCTCAGATTTCTATTGATAAACTGAAATCACCCTATAGACATATCATACGCAATTGTATTGATACTGAATTGTGAAATAAAATTGAAGTGTTTGTTAAAATTTCAAAGTACTACTTTGTTTGCCAATCCGCACGTTACAACACGCTGTTCAAACTATTAAACGAAATTGTGTGGACTGTCGATAAAGCGGCCATTTTTAATTTTAAATATAATTTATAAGTTAAAAAAGAACATAAGAGGGAGAGAAAACGTAAATATAAGTATTGAGCTAGCGCGCATTATGTTGTAATAAATATGTGCTAATCATGCCAGAGAGACTGGGAAAGTAAGAAAAACACGTTTTAAATTAAAATGACTGTTTATCAGTAAACTACGCGTAATTTTTGTTGCTCTTCTCTGAATACTTTATGTGAAATACACGTATAGATCTTTTCTGGCACTTACAGGTGGCCATGCCTTATCGTATAAGAGAATGTCAATACATGCAAACGAACAAAACACGTGGTATGACACATCTTAGTTATTTCAAGAGTAACTACAAATATATGTAGCAGATTATAACAAATCTGAAAAAAATATGTTAGTATTTAAATGATATCGAGATAAGTGGCAAAATAGATTAATCAGATTTGAATTTGACCTCTGACCCTCGGATTTGCGAAGCAATCCCAAAAAAGAAACTTCTATATTGCGGCAGGTCATGAAGCGTGACTTTACAAAATCTTAACACACACTTTTGATGAAGGGAGCGCTGTGTGAAGTTCGGTTTGATCGGAAAAAGGGGGATTGCGGTCGGCTTAACAAACAGTTGCCAAGGCGACAACAAAAACAAAATGGAGGGTATGATATACATTATGTGTGTAAAAGGGAGAATAACACGATACAATCGATTAAATGAAGATCTCTGTCACATGTACATACAGTACTATCTTTAAGCATACCAACCTGCATCCATTTCCGTCTGCATTCTCTGAGGACTCGATACGTCTGAACTCATGGAGAATTACACAAGGAAGGCCGTAGAGGTAATGTCGATACAGAAAGAGTGACGTGCTTACATGTAATTAGTGTCATATGTGCGACACTCTATTGCGTCTGTAAAGTGAATCGTTGTTAACAAAGTGTAAGTTAAATTGTCAACCTTGAATAATAATGTTGGCTCAATGATCATTCTGTATACAGTGATGAGATTACACGTTTACAGGTTTCTACGAGCAACACAATACATGCACATGTATATAATGAAATATTATTCCAACAAAACTGTTTTGTCAAAGTTCTGCTGTAACAAGTTCGGTTAAGAAAGACAAACATATTTTATATACTTGCAAAAGTATTTCAACAGCAATCATATGTTACATATATACTGTGATCATGTTTCGTCACAAATTACACTTCGTTGAAAAGTTGTCACAAAAAATACGTGTGTGACATCAACCGACTTGTTTACACTTAGTACCGTGTTTGTAACTCAATTCATTATCAGAAAAACTACACAAAAAGAGAAATGATGATGATGATGATGATGATGATGATGATGATGATGATGATGATGATGATGATGATGATGATGATGATGATGATTGTGAGGATGATGATGATAATGATGATGATTATGATGATGATGGTGATTCTGATTCTGATGATTCTGATTCTGATGATAATTCTGATGACGATGATGATTCTGATTCTGATGATGATTCTGATGACAATGATGATTCTGATGACGATGATGAGTGAATTAAGTGTCAAAATGTGTGTTAGAGAGTGTGAAAAGGAAAATACCTGTTTTTTTATCTATATTATGGAACACCGTTGGAAAAATAAATTGAGAAATAAGAAAAGAAAAGAGTGAATACTGTCTGTTATCCAGAATAAATACTGTAGGTATGTGTCTGTTATCAAGAGTAAATACTGTAGGTATTTATCTACTATTTAGAGTAAATACTGTAGGTATGTGTCTGCTTTTTAGAGTAAACACTGTAGGTATGTGTATGTTGGTAAGAGTTTATACTGTAGGTATGTGTCCGCTATTAAGAGTGAATATTGTAGTTATGTGTCTGTTATTAAGCGTAAATACTGTAGGCAGTTCTCTGCTATTTAATTAAATGTATCATGAATGATGCCATACTGATATTCTATATAGTTTCCAATTCCTACCCGTGTTTCGATTCTGTGAAGGTAAGATATTTATATACATTGACAGTTGACGTAAGATTTGACTGTTTTTTAAATATCAGGAAAACATAAAAATATCTTCTAACAATAAAATGATTATCATATATATGGCTATATATATATGCATATATTGATCCTGCAATAGGTAAAAAACACTTTTAACTTTCCCAGATGGACAAAATCAATAGTTAAGTATTCGATGGGGTTCTTGTTGGTAATATGATAAAAATAGGAATAAATTATGGTAATGTAAACTTTATATGAAACCCAATACAGAATCTAGAGGAAATGTAAACTAGAAATATAAACTATATATAAAAACCCAGCAGCGAGAGACGTTAGAGCTGACGTAAACTAGAAACAAAACCTAGCAGAGAAGCGAGATGTAAGTTAAACTAGATATAAAAATCCAGCAGAGAGAAACGTTGGAGCTAACGTAAACTATATATAAAACCCAACAGAGAGAGACGTTAGAGCTAACGTAAACTATATACAAAACCTAGCAGAGAAGCGAGAGGTAAGTTTAACTAGATATAAAAACCCAGCAGAGAGGTAAGAAGTCATGTAAACTAGATATAAAACCCAACAGAGAAGTTAGAAGTAATGTATACTAGATAAAAAAACAACAACAGACAAGTTAGAAGTAAGGTAACTAGATATAAAACCCAGCAGCGAGGTTAGAGGTCATGTAAACTAGATATAAAACCCAGCAGAGAAGGTAGAGGTAAGGTAAACTAGATAAATCACCCAGCAGAGAGATTAGAGGTGATGTAAACTAGATATAAAACCCAGCAGAGAAGTTAGAGGTGACGTAAACTAGATATAAAAAACCCAGCAGAGAGGTAAGAAGTCATGTAAACTAGATATAAAACCCAA